GGATGCTTGAAGCAATGGTAACATGGGCCTCGCCACCGAGGCAGCCCATGGCGTGCAACAATTTGGTCTTTTCGTTGGGAAAGTTGTGTCCGTCGACCTCCCAACGGGTGCGAATGGCTGTGGACCATGCGACAAAACGATTGTGGCGTTTGAAGGTGTCGGTGTCCTCGCCCGTGAAAGACTCGGGGTCCTTGGTCAGATCGCAACAACGAGAAGAGTCGGAGGGGGCCGAGGGGGCGGGAACGAAATGGTAAGTTCCGCCGGGGCCCATGAAGAAGCCACCGGGACCACCAGGACCACCGGGGCCACCAGGATCGCCGGGACCGCCAGGGCCGAATCCTCCAAATCCTCCATCTCCGGCACCGAATCCTCCACCCATGCCGGGTTTCTGGCCGGCAGATTCGCCGGCTCCTCCCATGCCGCTAACGCCGAATCCACCAGCGCCGGTGCCGCCAGCAGCAGCTCCTCCCATGCCGCCACCGTCAGCACGGCCGGTACCATCTGCGCCGAATCCTCCAACACTGAATCCACCTCCGTATCCGCGACCGTTGGCACCTCCAGCGCCGTCGGGCTTGTCGTCGCCAGTGCTGTAGATGTCTGACCAGACGTCCTCATCCGTACCGACGAAGGGGCTGGTGCCCTTGGGGAACTTGTTGTTAGTCGCCTCAGTGGACTTCTTGTCGCTGGCCGCCTCGGCGGGCTTGTTGAATTCGGCGTTCCATTGTGCATTGATCTGAGCTTCCTTGAGCTTCTGCTTGGTATAATCCAGTTCCTCACGCAGGATCTTGGCTTGACTAGCCTTAGCCAGAGCCTCCTTGAGGCTGGCATTCACCTCCGCGAAGGTATCGTTCTGGGCCCTGGAGGCGGCCAGCATATCAGTGTACTGCTGCTCGGCTGAAGCCACGTCGCGCTCCTTCTGAGTGACGACAGCGCGCAAGGAGTCGTTGTCAGACTGCAGGGATGAGACGTTCCTCTGCAAGGCTATGTTTTCTCTAACGACGTCGTTGTACTTCTGTTGTTGATGATTGACTTGGGTGGCCATCTGGGCCTTGAGGCTCTCGAGGGTGGCCACGCGTGACTTGAACTCCTCTGCCTCCTTCTTAGCTATTGTTGCGGCGATGTCCTTCGCCGTGTTAGCTGCGTGGACCTCGTTGTTAAGATCCTTGAGCTTGACGTCGAAGTAGTGAAGAAGCTTCATCACCTCCTCCGAAGCTCTAGCCTTCTCGGCGAAATCACGAGAGACCAGGAGGCCTGTCGCCTCCTCTTTGCAGACGAGTTGGAGCCACTTGAAGCCATCCAACAACGCCGGGAATACCTCACGCAAGTCGACTTGACCGGCGTAGGCCTGCTGCTCACTGGGACCAGACATCTTGTCGTGATCGAGTGACGAAATAAAGGGAAAGATTGAGTGTCGCTCCGTTGCGATACTTGCGCTTGCAATGCTGATGCTGTTCTTGGTGCTTGATTGAGGTTCTCGCTTCGTGTCGACCGGTGTCGGACACGCTCTGATTGATTGCTGACGATTACTCTGATCGCCGAAATGTGATGTCGCGAAGACCAGATTACTGCGGTAGTCTCTTACTACGCTTGGTCAACCCGAAATCACTTGTTGCGCTTTAACGCGATGGTTAGGCACAACAAAGTGTCATGGGGCGCGAGCAAGCACTGAGCTAAGACTTTGATTGTTGTGCGAGGGACAGGAAGAGAGTCCTGTGTGCGCACGAGAACTATGTAAGGCATAGAGCAGTGGGTCCACCCCATGGACCCACCCAGAGCCACCATGTCACATGACAGCCAGTATATACAGGAACAGGCAGGCAATGCCTGTGACAACCTTACTCCCCCCTATTACTATTATTATTATTAAAATTAATACTATCGTTAAGCAATTTATTTACCTACAAATCTCCCAGTTTAGCGATATCGTTCCTAGAAACCTTAGTACAAAAGAATATTTTAGAATATATATCCGCGTTACTAAGGGGTTACTTTATAAGCTAGTTGACCATATAATTCTTAATATTCTTCCGCTTACGAAAGGCCTCCTAATTTTACGTAAATATTTTAAGTAATTTAGTACTAGCATTAAGTAAGGCGCTAAATATAGAAAAAACTTCCTTCTAATTATAGTAACGCTACTATTTAATATTAAATTTAATCTTAACATATTATATAATCTAAATATATTCGTCCCAAACTTCCCTATATTTCTCCTTAACCTCCTCCTAAATTTCGGTAAAGTCCTTCTACTAAATAGAATTAAATATCTTCCTCCTTTTAAAATTAAGGAATTAAAGTATTACACTAGTAATTATAGTAGAAGTCTAATTAATACGCTTCTTCTTCTTAAGGGGTTAGGCCTTACTTTGCCGCTTCCTCTTTTAAAGACGAAGTAAGGATAGTATACTATTTTATACTATACTCTAAGGCGGCTGGGTATTACTTAGGGAGGCCGTTATAATATTATAATGGATTTTAGACAGTTAACTATAGTTAATCTAATTATAGTTTACCGGGTAGATAAATTAGCTTTCATCGAAGGGTAGGAAATTAGAAGGCTGGCTTTCATTTTCGTCGAAGGTTAAGAAATTAAATAATTTATTATTATTATTAGGCGGCTTAAGAACATTATCGAAAGATTATAAGAAGAGGTTATTAAAGCTACTATATTATTCTCCGCTATTAATATTCAATAAATTAAATAATAGTAATATATTCAAACCGCTTAAAGGGGTTAAATATTCGTCTTAGGCGTTCATCTTTTCAGACTAGGACGTATTTTGGCTAGTAATTTTCGTATAAGTCCAAATAGATCCAGGTGCTGACCTCATACGGGGTTCAACCTTGTTTTTCAAGCGTCTTTTACAAGGCGGTATAGAGGCCTTAGCCAACTACACCATAAACGGTTAAAACCAACCATTACTAAACTAATATAGTACTAAAGCGGTACGGTCGTATCGATCCACCTCTTTTACTTGGCTGCAGACGAGAGGGAGTCACTAAATATTCAAACTTTTTACAGGAAAAGTTTGCCTGCCGTGCCTGCTAACCAAGCTTTTGGAATTTTCATCGCCTGTGAAGGCCTTCCCCAAAGCCGTTCTGGCGTTCTTGGGAATAATCTCGGGTGGAATTGGAGACCTGTACCGGTGGTGTCCGCTACGCAGTTGTAACAAATATCCATGAAGAATGTCGTGTCAGTGAGCTGTGTGAGCTGTCGATCTGGTGTCGATCCGGAGTTATGGGCAAGGTATCTGGTACTTACATCGGCTCTTTTCATTGCCCAGCCAAGAGGTACCAGTACAAGTGGGTTGCGCCTGTGATGGAGACAAGGAGGGTCCTTTGATCTTGGCTGCTTGTGATCAAGACCGTTTGAACCTCACATCTGAGTGCACAACTTGTCCAGCCTTGCATTGACTCGCACAAGAGCACACTGGCCTTCGGTCATGGGAAGTTCAGGCAGTGGATTACATATTTAAAAAAATCCTACTCATTGGAACCGAATGTACAAGCCCTCTAAACAAAGATAAGGCCCCAGGGTCCCATTTATGCACATTACTTTACAAAGCTTCGCCAACAAAGATGCCGCAAGCTCTCAGCCCCGACTAAGCGGCTGTCATTCCTCCTCTTCCTCATCAACAAGATCCTCCACAATCAAGTTGCCTCCTCTGCCCATTTTTTCAGCGATAGTAACCGACGCGGTAGGTTCAAAAACCTCCCTTGGCATCACGGACGCAATCCGGAACGCGTACTTGTGTTCGTAGTTTTCAGGCTTCTCCACGCTCTCTTCCACATCTCCCTTCTCCTCATCGTTCTCAGGATAGAGCAAGTCATAGCATTCGACAAATGCATAAACATCCTCCAGTGACGCTTCAGGGGCAAACTTCCGCGTGACTCTCCCCCTTCCGGACGACTGCGACATATTAAGCGCCAGACGGACCGCATCCTTCACCGAGACATCAGGCTCAGGGGCAATAGTCGTAGCACGCCACCTCCTCCATTGCTGGCGTAGCTTTTCCTTCCGCTCCGCTGCCTCAGCCTCTTCTCGTGCGCGCCTCTCTGCCTCGGCAGCAGCAGCTGCTGCCTCCCGCCGTTGCCGTGCTCGCTCTCTGTCAATCGCAAGCGACCGTTCATAAGCCGAATCCTGCTCAGATCGCAAGTTACGGGCCATATCCTGTGCCGCGCGCTCGGCGCGCACACTGTCAAGATCAGGCGCGTACTTTTCAATCGCTCCCCGGATACCGGCAATGAAGACGGACGGAGACACAGGCCCAGCGATACGCTTCACGATTCCCATCCGCGTGCTTCCCTCTTTCGGCGTCAGGCATACCAAGCATGAAAACGGAAACTTGGTGCACATGTACTCCATGGACACTTGATAAGCTTCAGAGTCCAGCACATTTCCTCCCCAAACAATGATGTTATTGGCGGGATCGTTGATGAAGGCCACCACCTCCGGGTCGAGTAGCGTATCTTTGATGAATGAGTCGGTATCGTCGTGTTCTGGTGAAATCAGTATCGTCAACAAGAACTTGAGATCTTTCTTTGCGGTGTCCAAAGCTTGGGCATGTCCGCCGTCAAAGAATGTCAGATCATGCGTGCCATAATACTCCTCAAATTCCCGTCTGAATCGCCCAGCCGTTTCTTTGGGAAGCAAGCTCCGCCGGGATTTCCGGAGTGATGATGTTAGAGCATGGGGCCGCAAAGACTGCGGAATAAAGGACAGTATGTAGAGTATAGGGCGAAACAGACTGGCAAAGACCCGTAAGACCATCCGAAAAGGCGACAAGAGGAATGAAATCAGTGATGGGGCTTGGTACGTGACGGGCCTCGGGGGCACCACACGCGGGGCGGGTGGTGTTCGATTCGCGCCGTGTAGTCCATGCTGGTGCGCGATATCCGACCAGACGGTTTCGTGTAATGTCTCATGCCTACCCGCAACCCTAGGAACTTCGTTTTGTGCTGCTTGGGCTTCGGCAACCAGGTCGGGCCCTTCGCCGTCGAAGAACTTGGCTATTGCTATCTGCGCCAGATGTCAGTCCCAGCGCGTGCATGGAGGCGTCGAAAAGCCGGGGCCTCTAGTCGATATTTACCTGAACATTCCACTGCGACCGTTCAAGTAACGGCATAGCATCCGTGATCTCCTGCCCGGTAACATCTGTATATTGCTGCAAGGCCTGCTGTTGTTCCGGGGAGAGCTGGCCGATGTCCACCGCACTGTCGCCTGCCATTGTGTGCAGTTCGGCGGTCGCGTAGATAGCTGGAGTGTGATTAAAATATTAAACCGTCACTTGTTTGGATCGTGGACGAATTGTGTCGTTTGGTAATCAGTTGGTTCCTCGACCGCGCATCAAACGGAGCAGATTTCAAGCAAGCTGGCCTCGGTACTAATGCTCGATGCTCGGTTGTCGGGAAAGCTACTTGACACGTATAGCTCTGGTCGTGATCGCGACTGCAAATTGAGTCGATATCGATTGAGGAATAAAGGAGAGAGAGAAAGAAGAAGAGAAGACAAAAGAAGAAGCGGGACTTGGACCAAGGAGGAAAGAGGTCGAATGGTGAACCTTGATGGTGTACAGTACATATGTATGTCTGCGCGTTGAGCTGTGATGAAGCGTGAAAGATACCACGTCAGTTAGATGAGGTCAGCGGCCACGGTTATGTGCCTAACGCAGGTCCATAATCAATCATGCACAGATCTGATAGTCGCATATCGGCAGCTGTCGGCGGTGGAACCTTCCTCTTAGCGGTCGGGAATGGGGGGCCGAGTGGAACTGAGGGCAGGCAACCTGGTGGAAACAGGGTCGCCAAGGTGGGTGTGGTGGGGTGGGAGGGAGCGATGGCTGTCTGGTGTCTGGACTCCCGCCCGGCTGCCGTGCCCTGTCCGCAGCCCGCAGCCCGCCAGCCCGCCGCCGCGTTGCAGTTCCTCAGAGCTTTCTTCGCTGATGCTGGAGATGTGAGTGGGCACTCGAGGGCCAGCAGTTCAGGTTCCCGTCGTCACGGTCACGCATCGCCGTCTTTGCTCCGCAACGTGCTGTCAAAACCATCCGAATCTTACCCCCTTGGACTCGATTCGTCAAAGTCAGCGCCGCCAACCGGACCTCCCTCGTCCTCAAAGCAGGATTGCATACGACATCTGCCAACCAGCACTTCCCTTTGTCCCTCGGCGAGTGGCGCATCTCCAACTGGCCCATCGCGTGCCATCCGATCCGATTACATACGTCCCTGTCCATCGCCAACCTCGCCAGCGTATCGTCGACCTAAAACCCGAAATCTCGAGCTTTCCGCTGCTACCGCTTGCTGCCACATAACTCTGCGCCGGCGCCTTCGCCGTTCCCTATGGGTGTCGGCTTGTCCGAAATATGGGAGAGATCCGTGAGGGTGAAGAAGTATATCCACCTCTCCGTGCTCGCTAGATATGCTTTTGCTAAGCTGCTCTGCTGCAGGCGTTGTAAAACCGGTCTCGGGCTCGTTCATCCCTTTTGCTAGTCCAATACAATAAATAGTCCGTCTACACTATGGCCGCAACGCGATATAACTCGGGCGACCTCCGAAGGCAGGTCGGGTCGCCGCGTGCAAAGAACCGCGGTATGTCCTCAACGTAGTCCCGGTCTCGGTCGTCGTTCTATCGCAGGCGTGTCCCGCTAACCGGTTTGCTCCTGAAGACACCAAGGAAACACTCTGCCGCAATGTTGTTATCTACGGACATTGCCGATGGGAGGATTCTGGATGTACCTTCAACCATGACCAGAACAAGGCATCCGGCTCACAGGCCGACCTGTAAGTCTTATCCCAACTCTGTTTACCTCTGCATGCTGTGTTAGCGGGGAGTTATGCGCCTGGGTTTTGGAACGGGATTGCAACGTCATGGAGCGGATATGTTTGTCGGTGTGCCTTGTTTGTTTCTGACTTTTGCGATAGCAACTCTAATCGAAGAGTCTTCAATGTCGAATCCCCATCCTTTACGCCAGCTAACCAGCAGCAACCAGCTGGAAAGAAGTCCACTTTTTCCTCCCAAGCTGCGAGTGCTGCCCCATTCACCCCAAGGGGAGTTGGCAGTAAGTGTCCCAGGGCGGTTCTGAGGCCTACACGGATGATCAAGCAATGTCTAACTCGGCCATAGCATCCACGCCGACTCTACAACAACCGGGTGATTCGACCATATTCAATCCAGCGGCTATCAGAGAGTTTACCCCGCAAAATTACGATGTCGGCAACACGGTAAGTCATATGTCGAATGTTGGCAGATGGCCTTTGCTCACAGTCGTCGGCAGATATCGCAGAATGGGGCACAAAACGTCACTCAGGACGGTGGTCTTTACAGCGACCCCTTCTCGATAAGTTCACTGGGTCAAACTATGCCGCCAACGGGCCAATACAACCCATACGCAAACGACCCAAACAATCTGGCCGGTGCTGGGGCAGGATTATATCAGCCCGCGGGTTTTGGCAATGGGCTTGTCCATCCACCTAACTACCATCTCTATCAACCACCATCCGAGCTGTATCGTCCAAGCCTTCAACCTTATCAGCGAACTACGTACGACTTCTTCATCCCGAAGGATAGGCGAGAAAACTTGCAGAAGAAACTGTTCCATATGCAGCAATTACTACCAAGTGAGTCCACAACCTCTTCAATGGAGATCGGTCACTAACCGCCTTAGATTCCGGGCTTCCTAATCTTGATCGCTGGCACTCGCTCTTCCCTCTCGATACAAAGGCTACGAGGAACTCCACTTGCTTTGGCTATCCTAGTTGGATGTACAAAGCACAGAACAACAAGAATGGGAGACACTTCGCCTTGAGACGTATCGAAGGTAATGAAATGCCCAGTTTCCGGCTCTGCGAATAACACTTCACTAACCCGGCTCTGGCAGGTTACCGCTTGACCAACGAAAAGGCCATCCTCAACGTTACCAAGGAGTGGAAAAAGGTCATCAACGCAAATATTGTTACCGTACACGAAGCATTTACTACCGAATTCTTTGGCGACAGCTCTCTGATCTTCGTTTATGACTTTCACCCTCTTTCGGAAACACTCTACGACCATCATTTTCCACCAAACAACGGCCACAACAGATTACGGAATACGAACAAGATTCCTGAAAACGTTTTATGGAGCTATGTGTGCCAAATAGCAAACGCGCTGTTGGCCATCCACAATGCCAAGCTGGCCGCCCGCTGTCTGGAGTTGAGCAAGATCATCTGGGAAAACAACCGCATTCGGCTTGCGGCGTGCTCAATCCTCGATGTACTGCATCATGACAGCCCCAATCGCAAAACGATTGAGGAGCTGCAACAAGAGGATTTTGTCAAGTTTGGTAGAATCATTCTTGCTCTGGCCACGAACACCCCGACGCTCAATTTCAGCAACATTGACACTGCTCTGGCTACCATGGCGCCGCGCTATTCGACACAATTGAAGGGAGTCTTGGAATGGCTCATCAAGCCTTCTGCTCCAGGGGAAACCAAGACGGTTGAGACCCTTCTTGGCGGAATGACAACACACCTCGCGAACTTTGCCAATTTTGTCATGCAGGAGTCCGATGAAAAAGAATTTCATCTTATGAGGGAGTTGGAGAATGGCAGGATTGCCCGCCTCATGTTCAAACTGTCTGTTGTTAATGAGCGGGGTGATTCCTGCGGAGTGCACAACTGGTCGGAAACCGGAGAGCGCCTCCTCCTAAAGCTATTCAGGGATTATGTTTTCCACCAAGTGGATGCCGACGGAAAGGCTCGGCTCGACACGAATCACTACCTTAGTTGCTTGAGCAAGCTCGACGCCAGCTCCGAAGAACAGATCTTGCTCACCAGTCGCGACAATGCCACGGTTTTCGTGGTCAGCTACAGGAGTATACGACAGATGTTGGATCGTGCGTATGGCGAGCTTGGAAAGGAAAGTAAACCCAACACGACGGGGGCTACCATCTAGCATCCAAAGCCTTTCAGACTGCATTTTCTGCCAAGATATCGAAGCAAGAAGGAGCAGAGTTCGCGGTCGTGCTCATCTGCGTTGCCGTAATATTTCACTGGGCTCCACGTGTTTGGCCACGGCCAAGATTTGGGACCGAAGCTCAAGTGAAAGACTTGACGATAATAATGGATGTGGCAGCCCGATCAAAGCGAGCTTGGCCTACCAGGGAAGCGAAGAGGAGGGATTTAGGAGAAGGGGAAATGTGACTAAGAGATGGAAAGTGGTTAACAGCGATGAGCAGATCATATTAGACAGCGAACTAGAAAACAAACTCAGAAAACGTGCCCATTTCCGAGCCATCTGCCCAAGCGTTCTAATTCCACTCGGAGATGCTTGATGGGAAAATGCACGGCTGCTAGACGGTTCCTGGAGCCAAGGGACGTTCTTGGACGGGCATGTGTTGCCTTCCGGGGCAATTTTGTATGGCTTCTTTTTCTCCATGTACCTCCCCATCTCACACTCCCCTGGTGGGTATCCTTGCTAGCTGGGGCCGATTTGAGTTCCTTCATGCTCGACATTGGGTGTCTGATCACCCAGCTCAACCAAAATGTCCCATGTCGCACCGTCCCATCTTTGAAAGGGGCGCAAATCATGTCACAATGTTTGAGTCGTACCAGGTTTCTGTCCTGGAGTTTATCTTCCGCCCCTTTTCCTTTCGTCAAGTCGTTATCTCGTCCATTGCCGTCATTCGGTTTGCGAGGGTGACGGACGGCGTTCAGATTTCGTAGGTTGGTGTGATGTTTCAAATCAAGATGGGTCCAGGTTCATGATTTCTTTCTCCATACGAGAGGGTTTCCCTCTGCTCAAGCTTCCTCCTCTTGCTGCGCGAAGGGGTTCGCAATCACCTCACTTCCGTCGACGGGGCTGATCACCACAAGGAGCGTGCCGCGCGCGACAACAAGTCCAAGGGGGCGGGTGGTTTCGTTGCCTTCTTCGTCTGTGGGACACAAGGGAGGTTAGTGACCTGACCAACCGACTGACCAAGAGAGAACGAATGCGCCGGGCAGAGAAGGGAGGCAGGCAGGCAACAACTTTACCTCTAACAGCTTCCTGCACGTCATCCAGAACCAAGTTCATAAGCGCATCGTAACCCTTGAGTGTACCGGTAACTGTTGTGTGTCGAAGACAAGAAGGGGTCTAGTGTCAGCAGAAGGACAAACAACAACAAACAAGGCTGTGGCTTGTTTTGTAGAAAAGCTTGTTGAGAGGACTCGGATATATGACGTACCTTCACGTCCACCGTTGAACTTGACAGTAATGCGCTGGTCCATGTACTTCTTGAGGTCGAGAATGTTTTCCTTCTTGGGGCGCTCGCCGCGGTCACCGCCCTGAGCACCACCACCTCCTCCTCCCTGGCCACCACCGGCGCCGGAGCCGGAACCACCTGCTCCTCCACGGTTTCCTCCGCGACCGCCCCGGTAGCCGCCACCACCACGGCCGCCCCTGTTCCCTCTGTCTGTCATTGTTTTGTTTGTTTGTTTGTTTGTGAAATTGGTTCGGTATGCGCTGTGTGTTGCGCTGGCGGATGTGGTAAAGGAAAGGAAGTGGTTAAAAACCGAGACCGTTTGGGGTTGTCAAGTGTGTTTGTGATGTTGGTGATGTCGTTCGGTGATGCGATTGTTGATCCAAGGTGTTGCGATGTCGTGGGGTTGGTCAGTCTGGGTCAGTCGCGTTTTGGCGTCTGCCATCCGCTGGAGTGACGCCTTGCTGCTTCCAGTCTCGTTCCCGTCGCTGCTGCTGAGTTTCTTCCACAACTGTGCTTTGCCAAGCACCCCGCTGTGGGGCTGCCATCCGGATGTAAGTGCGGGTAGTGTGGATCCTAGAATTCCATCCCCGGACTGGCGATGCGACTCGCTAGATTGAGTGGCCCAAGCTCCCTTCAGCTTCTCTTCTGGAATCCAACCACGACCTTTGATTGAAACTTCTCACCTTTCACTTCTCAATCTCTCTTCATCCTTTCTTCATTCTTCAGATGTTGTCATCACCCCGCCAAAAAAACACTGTGAAATAATGGGTGCCATGAGTACCGATATTGATTTTCTGAGAAGACACGACCCGCCTGCTCATCCACTACGCTCACATCCCATGATCGTTTTAAATAAGTTCCCCGATTTTCAGTAACTCTGCAGCAGCAATGGTTGTTGGTCTCTTTGGATGAGCTTGTCAAAATCCCAGCATATCAGTAACCTGCTGCGGTTTTGAATGAACATGGACGCTGAGGGAATACTTCAGCTGGCCATCGTTCGGTTCTTGGTCCTGAGCAACGGGAATAACTGCTAATTGGAAGTCCAGGGGCTTTGACAAAAACTCGATTTCTCTCGGCAACATCCGAGAGCCATTGAACCAAGACGCAAGAGATATCCGCTCGCCGGGCCAAAGTAGGTCCTACCAAACTCCAAGCTTGCCCGGGATAACCGCGCAAAGTCGGTGTTACTATTTCATTGTCGGATACTTGACCACTCAGCCCCTCTATCCACTGACTACAAGTTTCCCTGGCTCGTTCCCCGACTGCTATCAAATCCCGAACACAAGGGAAGCATAGCCTCATTCACCTCACGATCTGCTCTCGACTATCAAACCTCCAGCTGTCGGGTTCCTACACCAGGTTGCATCACGCATGGTTCTGTACGCACCTGCACTTCCACCACCGATTTCCCTGATACCACTACCTACACTACAGCAGTTCACCGCAGTTTTGCCCTGTTTATGCGGGGCAGCCCCCGAGTCTACCCTGCTACGGCCAGGCCAACATCTGTAAGTTCGATTCGGAATCAAGACAGAACCCGGTGAAGATATATAACATTCACCCAAGCCGCACTATCAGGGAGTAACTCGACCCACGGTGTCCAGTCAAAACAGTTTCTCCTTTGCTTGGTTCTGCTGTGACGCCGCAAGATGCCGGCAGGCGTACACAACAGGAAATCGGGGGATGCTCCCCCTGGGCCCTGCCCCTCTAAGCGCAAGAGAGACCTAGACGACAACGGCATCCCCGGCCTTGCTCGCCCTGACCGCATACCCCAACCACGGCCGCCACAGTCAGGTATGTTGTACTTGAAGAGGACCAGTATCCATTGAGCCGACACTTGGCGATGAATTGGGTCCTGAAACTCTATTTCAAATCCCTGTTGCCTTACTGATTATCACTAGGTAATGCTACACCTATCAACTACCTTTCCGCTTCCGGAATCAAGACATCAAGCCTCAAACTTCTTCGTGGGGATAACGGCGTGTTCAACGAGGTCATATCCCTTATAAACGACTATGAAGGTATGAAGAGAACTCTGCTGTACAGGCTCCGGAGCTAAAAGCATCCAAGGAGTCCTCAATCGACATGAAAGCCTTGCTGCAAACCTAGGGGCTAAGCTCAATGCACCTCGTCTACTACGAGCTATGGAGAGTCTATTTGAAGGTGAAATCACAGTTTATCCCAAGATTCCTTTTGGACTGGATCAGCCATACAAGCCTAGCTGGCTGGACATCCTCGAATTTGCGGCTTCGAACCCTGGCCAGTTCAATCTCTCCACAATAAAGAGTGGTGGCCGGACCTGTCGCTTCTCCATGAAAAACGTAAACGTCGACGTCGAAATCACCGAGGATGACTGGCGGCTTATCACGTCCGGTGCTTTGGATCGTTTCAGCCTAGTTCCGCCCAAACCGTTGGAAGAGGATGAAAGAATCGAGTCGGTCACGCTAGATATAGTTCAGGACCGAGTTCACAGGATCATCCAAAAGGCAGACGAGATAGCTGCCAAAGCACGCCAACTGAACTATCACCTGGGCGGCCGCAGGGTTGCCATTGCAGCTCGCTATACGTTTCAGCACTCTTCAGAGTTGGACCAGCCCCCGACACGGCACAGAGAGCGGAAGCCCGATCCTGATCTCCGGCTTAACTTACTGCAGCAGTTTCTGTCTCAAGCTTCCCAGCAAGCTTCCCAGCAAGCTTCCCAACAAGCGGAAACTTATAATACAGGAAAATCTGGCTCAAGTCCCTGTTTGGCATCTTCTAGTCATTCGCAGTCGCAATTAACGCCGGCTGTTATCGTCCAGTCACCAGCAACGACGACGCCGCATGGAACATTGGCTCCCCTTCAGCAACGTACTGGCTCGATCCATATGGAAAACTCGGTACCGCAAGATCCAGCGCGTCAACAACTGTCCTGGGGGTTCCGTGCTTTGGAACGCTACGCTGTCAGCCGATCCGTCATACGAGCTGTAGAGAAACTTGAGCGTGGAGCATCGATAAAACCTCCTTGTGACCGCTGCCGGCGGCTACAGATACCCTGTGTCAAATATATGGGCAGCGGTTGTCAAGGGTGCGCCGACTTCCGCGAACGATGTGACTGGCAAACAGTGACGCAGGATGAGAAGAATTGGGCTTTGAATGGTGTGGCAAGAACAGAGGCGTCAAAAGAGAGCAGCCCTGGAATGGCAACGGCGGCGGTAGCTGACAAAGGAGGGTCAAAATGCTCTCCCACGAGGACGGCAGATGCAAATGGGCTTGGCACCGGTTATCGTGTGAACATTCGGATTGGTGAGCTGACACATGTCATGGCGAATGGGAGAGCAGCAGCGGCAGAGGATGATAGGGAAGGAATCGGACGGCGTTCTGGTAAGGTCCTTCTACAGGAGAGTAAAGTCAAAGGACCGGATGCACGTCACTAAATGGGCGGCAGCAGCTGGGTTTTCAGAAATTTCTGGCGTTAGCAGGCTTGTGTTAGGATGCCAATCAGGTGTATCATGTAGTTTATCATCGAGTTTCGGAGGAGTGCCGGTAGGATATCATACAAAAGGGGCCAACCTATACATCAAGAGGTGCCAGTGGCTTCATCAGCCACCTGAAAGAATCGAGATCAATAATTCGAAGATATATGTATATTTACTCTTAGAAATACTCTTATTGTGACAACAACGCAAAACAAATAGCGAGACTGTCCAAACTATTTTCTTTCGCTTCAAACATGAACTACCTACCATTCGTCACCCTCTGAACTGCTAACAGAAGCCCCAAGAATGCGGTCTTTGCTTGTTACTTCATATCCACCAACATCCACCGACATCCAGTCCACATCCCTCTCCCCTTTCCCCCTCCGGTAAGGTAACCTCGTCCTTTCACTGCAAACAACCCCAATACTTCGCAGCCTGAACCTGAAACCGCTCCTCCATGTCCAGACACCGCATCAGAATGGCGATGCGGATCTGCTCATCCCGCTCGTTGTCCGAGGGCGTGTAGAGGGTCGAGGAGCGGGAACGGGTGATGAACTCGTTTAGGGCGGTTTTGCCTTTGTTGTTGTTGTTGGCTTCCGTTGAGGGTTTGGGGTCGGTTGGTGATGGTTCTGACGTTGATGGCGAGGGCTGGTGTTGTTTATGGGGTTGTTGTTGCTGGGGTTGTGATTGTTCTTGTTGTTCTGGGTCTTGTCCTGGTTCTGTGATTTGGTCTTGGACCTTTTGCTGGTCTTCTTGGTGGGCTTGTTGGTCGTCGGAAGACGGTTTGTGTTCATGATCAGGAGGGGACCGGGGCGGGGAGTGTGGTGGTGAATGGGGACCATGATGATGATTGGAATGCTGTTGGGATGGAGGAGTGATGGCCGAGGTCGATTCGAGCGAAGCTCGAGGAGTCAGTGATATGTTCGTCATGATCCCAGAAGTGGTGTTATCGACGAACGAGTTGAATGTGTTTGCACTGGAAGTTTCGTCGGAACTTGAAGTAGGCATCTTGGAGTTGGAAGGTTTCATGTAATGCGGGATGTAGCCGTGCGGGAGGTGGCTGGTCTGCTGGCAGCTGGTGCCCCTCTATCTGTATGTCAGGGAGTCGTGTGTTTGAATGGCGGAACACCGCGCATATGATTGTTTACTATCGCTTGATGTTGACTTTAGGATATCATTGTAGTTGTTTCGCAAGTCAGTTGCGAATTGCCATTGGTGTTGTGGGTTTTCCTCGACGTTGTCCGCCCATCAGTGACCAGTGTCTCTCAGGTGGTCCGTCCGTTCATGAACTTTGACCTCTTATCTCGACATTTCACCACATCATCGAGTCATTTGGGGGAAGCGGCGACAACGGTGATTTTTCCAGTGCTTGGTTAGCATTTTAACATATACAGATACAAGCACGTAGTGTAATCGTGGCATGCGAGGCTCGAGTATGGCGCCCTTGAGGTCGGAAGATGACGAAATTAGGAAGTGCCAACCGAAGTTCGCGCAATCAACTTTGCTCCTCATCCTTTGACTATCTAGTGAAAAAGTTGACCATAATTTGCCCCCATATCCTGAGTTCTGAAATGAAGCGTCATACGCAGAACCGATTGTCAGGGAGAGTGGGATGGCAACATCGTGGGGCCGAACTCTGGCAATGGGGTTTATGACATGTCCCAACCAGAACCTTGTAAACAATCCGAGATTTTGCCAGAATCATCAGTGGGATTAAAACAGAGCCAGAGAACTGCCATCATCATATTTTTCTTCTCAAGGTTTCTTGGGTGCGAATCTTGTTGGTATCATGGCCCGGTATGAGGAGTCCACGTGGTCGACAGCCCGAACTCGCAACCGGTCAAGCTGAAGAGCTAATGAGCCAAGATATCTTTCGCCTTCCGCCATGCTTGTCGTAGTTCCATCGTAAGTCACTGTCGAATACTTGTCTACTTCGTGTCTGTCTAACTTTTGCTGTGATTTCCCTTGGAGAGAGCCATCACAGGACGAGATGGGGCGTGATTGCCTCAAGCTGCACAGGAAAGGTAGGACACGACGCCAATCAACACACGATGGCCAAAACTCACAAACTACGACACTACGACGTGGGACTCTGGATCTCTCAAGTAAAGGCGATAGCATATTCCCTTGGGTTAATGCGTATCAGTAGTCGGCTCGGCGCAAAGGTTGGGTCGTTGGGGCTGAGGCTTGCATCTACCCACCTATCTCTGATATCTCGCCCTCGAATCCGGGACTGACACTGGCGAATATCAAGTTCGCCCTATCTCCTGCTCTAGCAATGCCATATAATCAGGTTGTTTCTTAATGAAGGGGACAGCAGTGAAGCATAGTGCACGATCGACGCGGCGTGTGTGGTCGAGGAGTGAACGTCAGTAGGCCCGAGGATCATGTAATCCTCGGGTGGCACCAAAATGCCTGCAGTCGAGCATACCGGTTCCGACCCAGGCCGTCAGTCAGCCTGTCGTAGGAAGCTGTGTGTGGTATTTACAAAGCAAGAAGGGGGTGAACATGGCTGTGGACTTGGTCGTGAATGACGACGAGGTAGTGGTCGCTTTGCGGGATGGCGGGCTTTCAAGTGATGATCACGAAAGTCCGGAACTGGCCTGGATGATGGCCTGCGAGATGCTCCAAAGCCCCGAACCGTGGTCTTTCCTAACGGCAAGTGCATCAAGCCATCTCATGTTCTCACGAAAAAGGTGGAGAGGAGTGTTGGGAGTGCTGTGCGTATGTTGGAGCGGGCCGTTGTCCAAACACTCGCTCATAGCTTACTACAGCTTGGGGTTAAGAGCCCCCAGCCCAGCCTCCCCAGTCTCGAATAAATATCTTTTGTCGGTCCCAACCAACGTCCCCTTTTCCCTCTCGCAACCCGTGCAACCGCCATTTCCACTCCCTCTCGCCATCACACATTCTCGGTGCGCGCACAACCACTCGACCACATCGGTCCATCCGTCGACCAGAGTCCAGCCAGGTCTCAATCCAGGCACGCCCAGAGCATCAAGGAATATCCATCCGCATCGCTGCTGTCTGCTTCCGCATTTGCCCGCGGGCCCCTTTCGAGTGTCTTGTCAGCCATCTGGCTGGAACCTGGACTTTGCACGTACTAGGTGAGTGATAAACTACCCCTGGCGTTCCAACCCGACCCTCCCTCTTTCTCTCCTCCACTCGACTTGCCTATTTCGCGCTCGCTACCACTCCGGGCCTCGCTCCGCGTGTCCGTTCGCGCCTCACATCCCGTCCTTTCGCTCACTCAGCCTTTTCACCCCTTCACTTGTTTCCATCTCCGTCAACCCCCCTCCTTGATTTTTCGGGAATGCGATTGTCAACAACATAACCTATCAAGCGACATCTATATACTCTGCACCACTTATTTGCATCCACACCCCCCGGCATTCTCGAGATATCTACCATTTACACTGCAGCTTTTTCATGCCCCATTGCCGTCTTCAAATTTTCCCACGTCAACAACAACCGGCAACACGACTGCTAACCGCCATTGCACCCTTGGCTTAACGCGCAGATCTCTCTTCAGCGACACATCACATTTTCGGTTCTTCTGTCATTCCGAACCTACCTATGCACCAGTTGGACCGTTTTCTTCTCTTGCCCGTCTGTTGCTCGTCTTTCGAAACTGCCTCGCTCCAAATCCCAGAGTAAAAGACAGACAGCCATTGCACCGCGTCGGCTTGTGCTCCTGCATCTGCGCCAGTTGGTTTGCGTGGGCCTCCCTCACCGTTGGGCCAAGCAATCTCACCGTGGAGCCGGTCGAGTTTGCCACGCGCCCATACTTAGTACCACTTCCGGAGAACAGTAGCGTCGGGTAACTTTTTTCTGTTACCACCTAACCCGGCAGCCCAAGGCTCACTCACTTGGCGCGTTGGTCGCCTCGCGAAACCGCGGCAATGGCGGCAATCGTGGCAATTGCTGAGCTGGCCCGGGGGCTTCTCAGTTCAGACTCGAGCTTCGTGAGCGCCGTGAGCGCGCCTACCGATGCGTCTTCCAATGCACCGGCTTCGTTGACCTCGACACCGCCAACCACCGTCTCGCCGGATAACATGTCGCAGATCTCCGATGCCGATGTTAGTGGCAAACCAGATACCGTTTCCGTACCCAGTCTAGAGAGTGCCATCCGTTTGCTAGAGAACGAACAGCAAAACCAAGCTCGCCAACAGTTGCAACAAGAACAACAACAACAAGGGATAACAGGGGCCCAACCAGACGCCATTGTTGTGGTTCCCCAACAGCCCGCGGACCCCTCATTGCCCGCTCAACAGCCTGTCCCTGACTCAACAGGTCGATTTCCGCGCCGTGCACGAGGCAACAACGCCCCGGTATACAACCTCGCGAGATTGACCGGCACCTATGTGCATGGCAAACGCGCCTCGAAAGGTGACATTGTTCTGCAGAAGAAACGGAAACCGAAAGGTAGAAAACTAGCGGCTCTACTGGCCCAGCAGGCTCTCGAAGCTGAGCAGGCCGCTCAGCAGGCCGCTCAGGGCGAAACTCCAGCAGACCCTGCCGCAAACATCCCATCTGTTCAACCAGCAAACCAGGAAACCGACAAGCCCGATTCGAACGCGCCCGCAGACGCGCCCACGATCCCGCCCGTCCACGTGCCCGCAGCCCCCGAGCCCACGATCCCCGAGCCCACGATCCCCGAGCCCACGATCCCCGAGCCCACGATCCCCGAGCCCACGATCCCCGAGCCCACGATCCCCGAGCCCACGATCCCCGAGCCCACGATCCCCGAGCCCACGATCCCCGAACCCACGATCCCCGAACCCGCAATTCCCGAATTCGCTGCTAGTCCCGACAAAAATGGCGCCGCTCAACCACCCGACGCCCCAGCCGAGGAAAATCGCGTGGATCACGAGAGTCTCGACGCGTCAATGCATGAAGCGCCGCTTGAATTCCCTACAGATACCGCCGAACTGAGCTTGACGACAAAAGCCGATACCGCGCAAGACATAAACACCAACACCAGCGACGCGCTGACTCCCGTTCTGCCAGTCGATGTTCCCGACCATATTCCCGCGATCGCACCGAGCGCAACCACAAAGCCTAGCACAAGGGGAGCCAAGGCAACCAAGAAGGACGTTGTCAAGAGGCCTGTCGGGAGACCCAAGAAACGCACGGCGACAAACACAGGCAAAGCAACCAGGACAGCCCTCGCCGAAACAGCCAAGACGGTCACCGCCGAGGAAGGTGGAACGAGCACTGTCGATGAAGCCGTAACAAGCTCCCCCAAGGAAGCCGTACCCAACGTCGAGAAGGAAGCCGAACCCAGCATCGAAAAAGAAGCGGAACCAAGCGGCACCGAAGATGTACAAACAGGCACATGGGAAGATGTCCCAGCAGAAACAACTGGAGATGTACAAACAAGCCCAGCCAAACAGGTCAAAGCAGTCAAAGCGAAGGGAGTCAAAACAACAAAAGGCAAGGCAACGAAAGCTGGGACGATCAAAGCCTCCGCTGTAGTCCCTGCCACGCGCAGAGCGACGCGTCATTCGGGCGTCCCCGTTGAAGACCCGATCTTGCCATTGATAACACCGGCACCGGGCAAAAAGACCAAGAAGACAGCTGAGCCTGCTGTGACTCGTGTCCCACGGGAGCTGAAGCGCTTACGAGATACGAACGAATTCGTTGGCATCGAGACTCGTCCGATTCGATACTCTGTTTGGAGCAACGGAAAGTACGTTAACGTAACTGAGGAGAAGGAGCCCACTGCACCAGCAAAGAAGAAGGCCAAGGTCGAGAGCAGCACAGCTACAGTGCGCGAAGATAAGAAGGATAAGACGGTGGAACCAGAGGCTCCGATGAACACCGACTCTCCTCGTCCAGTCGTCAAGCAAAAGCGCGTAAAGAAGTGGCTTAATAAGGGTCTCTACGCTGGCCAGCAGGCGCCTGAGGACGTCACCAAAAGTCTCACTACGCAAGAGAGGAAGAGGCTCCTGACTATCCCAGAACTCGCAAAGAGTGGCCCACCAAACAAGGTCCTTCCACTGCCAATTTTCAATGGATTGCGGCTGCTCATCACAGGTCGTGATTTCAAGCTGCCGTTTGATGTCTGCCACCCATTGCCTCCCGGACAGCCCAAGCCCGCCGCATACCGCACCATGACAAAGAGTGAGTATACTATGAGACGGGAACGTCTGATTGTAAAAAGAGTGTTCGATAGCTAACCTATCTATGCCGTTTTTTAGACCGTTTCATTGGCCAGGCCGCGGCGATATGGAAGAAGACTCCTCACTTTGAGGATTTTGCTTCCAAGTGTGTATGTACGCCTGAAGATGGATGTGCACAAGACTGCCAGAATCGCGTCATGCTGTACGAGTGTGATGAGACCAACTGCAACGTCGGCAAAGAGTTCTGCCAAAACCGGGCTTTCCAGATGCTCACAGAAAGAACCAAGAAAGGAGGTCGTTACCGCATAGGTGTTGAGGTCTTCAAGACCGAAGACAGAGGATATGGTGTGCGTAGCAACCGCTGCTTTGAACCGCACCAGATCATTATGGAGTACACGGGCGAGATCATCACCGATGAGGAGTGTGAACGTCGAATGAATGAGGAGTACAAGAACAACGAGGTGGGTTTCTCCAGGGATTGTTCAAAGCTCTTATCACTGACATTTATCATAGTGTTACTACCTCATGTCATTCGACCAAAACATGATTATTGACGCAACTACCGGTAGTATCGCGCGGTTCGTCAATCATTCATGCTCCCCTAACTGTCGCATGATCAAATGGATCGTCTCTGGGCAGCCGAGAATGGCGCTTTTTGCGGGTGACCGCCCCATCCAAACTGGCGAGGAGCTAACGTACGACTACAATTTTGACCCCTTCTCCGCTAAGAACGTGCAGAAGTGTTTGTGCGGTGCGCCCAACTGCCGAGGTGTCCTTGGGCCCAAACCTAAGGAAGTGAAGCCGCCCAAGCCTCCGAAGGCAGAGGTTAAGGGCAAGAAAAAGGCTGCTAAAAGGAAGCTTCGAGAGCTCCTAGCCAATGGGATGGACAATGCTGTAGAGGGCGAGGGGAAGTCACCGAAGAAATTGAAGGTGGGTAAAGCCCAAGCCGGCAAGGCGACCGAAGATACAGCAAAGGGAGCTCCAACATTTGTGTCGCGAAAGGTCTCCAAGGTGTCTGTCAGCGCCAAGTCCAAGGTTGCTTCGGCGAAGACCACCAAGGCGTTCACTCGGAAAGTCAGCATTGCGACGACGAGAGTTGTCAAATCCTATTCCAAGAAGGGCGCCGCCGCGAAGAGCAAGACGATCACGCTGAAAGCTCCGTCAAGGGGTTCCAGCTTGACCATAGTCGCAGCTGATGCAGCCGGCTCTATCACAGCGGCAGGAACGACGGGGGCTGAAGAGGAGGTAGGAAACAAAGCTTCCAAGACAGCCAAGGTAACTCCCAAAAACACGCCCAGGGCAAAGAAGACGGCGGACGCTGTCCAAAACACTCCTGCTACTGCAGAGGGAGACGGCGGCTCGATTTTTGATGTACCGTCATCTTCTTCTGCAAGGAAACGCGCCCCCTCCTGGAAGGTGCGCGACTCCGGCGTTAAAAACGTATCATCCCTCTTCAAGAAAGCCAGGAAATCACCTGTCAAGAGCAAGGACACTGCCAGTCCGGCGGCCAAGTCTGTCGTTAAACCGCGCAAGGCTATCACGAAGGCGAAGGTCACAAAACCGGGCAAGGCGATGCCAAAGCTGACTGTCGCCAAGAAGACGGGCAAATCCGTGGCCAAGCCTGCGGTATCAAAGTCTGGCAAGGGATCTGTCGGCACTAAGGGTGCGACTAAGATTCGCCTCGTTAGCAAGCCGGCCGATGGCCAGGACGAAAATGCCGCTCCGGAACTGGTCGAGTGAGGGAACTAGGCTGGGCAACTAGACTAGTACACTGTTCTTTGATTGGGATGTGATGTAACGGGCATTTGGTGTCATTGGGGGACGGAGTGTAAGATTCAAGGACATTTCAGGCTTCGGGGAGTGTGGCTAAAGAAACAGGAGTTGTGAGTTTGGCTCGGTTACATGGCTCTGATTTTCTTTTTGTGGTATCTTTGGGACGTGGTGTTTTTTGGTCATTGTAGTCATAAAACGGGCGTTTGGCTTGTATATGATTCGTTTATCTTTTTATCCCCTTCTCCTCCCGGCGTCGCGCGGTTGCTTGTAGCTTCTTGCTCCCCTCCTTCAGGCTGGGGTTTGTTGGCCTGCATCCAGAAAGTACACTGAGCTGGAAATCACGCACCGGGAAGGAAGAAGCGAATTCATCATTTGTTCGAGTATCTTACAAACACATGAGAAACCAATATTCTATGTGTACATATATGTGTGCTGTGCAAAGCGTATGATACGCGACAAGGTGTCGATCTCCCGCTCCCCTCAGTGTTTGTCATGTAATTCCGCGGCCTCTCAGTGTTGCCAGTAGCCCAGTGCTGCTACCTCCGTGTACACAGGATAACCCAGTAACATGTTCAGAGAGTCCGACAAAATGAAAGGTACAACCTACCACTTAGCTCGTAAAGCCTTACCTCGCAAGGTCAAGTCTTTCGGCGAAAAAATGAATTACCATGCTGTTATGCCTAGTATTAGCGTTAAACATCTGGATCGTGGAAATTCACCATTTCCATCAAAGATCATGATAATCGGCCCGGACGAAATACGGCCTTTTTAAAATGTGGCTTGACCTTATCTGCTCCCTAAATTCCATTCCTTAAATCATGGGAATTTCAGATTATAAACCTGTAGTTCTGGACTTGGGTGTCATCAATTTTGTCATGGGGGCGACGCTGTTAACATTGCACAACATTACAAGGCCTTCGGTGAGTGACTTCATGGCCAGTCAAAACGCAGCGTAATTTTCCAGACCGTGGTTTTTTACGATTTGCTCTGTGGAAATTCGGAACCTCACCGACAATCGGGTGGCTCTTCGCTTCTGCCCGCGGTCCCACTTGGTCAAACCAACCAATCAAAAATGTCATAAATTAACGATGGAAATGGGTCAGACCCACCCAGTGTCCGCTCCGCTCCTCAAGTCCCGATCCGATCCTGTCACGGTAAAGATGCCGGCGTCTCCACACGAAAGATCCACATTAACTTCCGAAGACAACATCACCCCGCTGTGCACGTGTGTCCGCTTTCCCGTTCTGTCATCCCGCGTCTGCCATCGTCGAGACGGATGGTAAACTTTATTTTCCATCTTTGCAACGTCGTCTCGTCATGACGTCTTGGCGATGCTGCTGTCATTACCTCACTCGTCCGGACATGGCCGATTAGGCTTGCCTGATTTGATCAGGCACATTGGCACGTTTGGTCCTACTAGCTACCAGCCTCAGCTTGACGACCTATGCCGAATCGAGTTTCTCTTTTCCATGAGATTTTCCCGTTTCTCTCCGCTAAGCCAGCGGGCTAGGAATACGATTGGACACTCCCGATCCTATCAACTATCAACCACCACCTTCAGCTCATGCTCCCCCTCCCTTCCCTTCCCTTCCCTTCCCTTCCCCGCAATCTCCCGCAGCCCGCGGAGAAAGACATAACAAGACTTGAGCAAGGCTACTAATCAAATCCCGCAGACACTCCTCAGGGACCTCAGCCCTTGCGCCTAATCCTCCCACACCTTCCCACAATCAGGATCTCATTCTGAAATATGCAGATGCAGCAGGATCGGCTTTCCGCTTTGACAGCTCCTGGGGAAACTTCATCTTCTTGGCGGCAGAGTATCGTCACCACCTCGGTACCGCCGAAAACCGTAACTCCGGGACAACAAAAAAAAAAGTGTCGATAACCTCATCTGGGGTTCGGTAAACGACGATTACCTACTGCGCTGCTGGGCGTTACTGGACATTGCCGTGGCACGCACTGGCAGTCAGTCAGTTTCTCTCTCCTGGTTGACCGGTTTCGTCGTCGTCGAGAGAGAACATCAAACACTATTCAACCCGTCCGTCATCGCCACGCAGCCATCGCCGCGCCTGTCACTATCACCAGCAAGGCTCGCCGGCATGACGCCGGTGCCAAGAGACCAACAGGCCCTTCGCTTTCTTCCAAACTGGCCCAAAAAGCCGCAAAGTGCACCAGGCAATGCATCATGATGTATCTTACCCATACCCATACCCCCCACCATGAACACCTAACCCAAATCGGATACCGAGAGGGCGGATGCAAGGAGGGCTGGGAGGAGGGAGGGTAAGGTGCTGCAGCGTAGGAAAAGCCTCATCATACCACACCTCGACAAGTTCCGTGAGGCTGGCGGCGTCGCCCGCGCGCGGAACGCGGCAACGCGCCTAGTGGTAATCCAAAGTGGCTGTCATGGAGGAGGAGGAGTAAAAAAGCACATCTTGACATTCCGGGACAATGCGATGCTCAACCCAACCCAACCCATATCGAATTGGAATTGGATGAGTAATTTGCGTCGGCGGCAGCAGCGGTCCGGAAAACCAAGGTCAGCCATGAGAGAAAAGGCCCGAGGGGTTGAGGATATCAACCTACATACCTACCTGTTTGGATAGGTACATACGCCTAAGTGGGCGTAGATCAACTCCTCGAAGGGATGATCTTCTCCAGAGATACGTTTGCGGACCTGTCTCTAGTGTAGCTCTTGGAAGTTCTTATCTTCAGGCTCACCGATGACTGTCCGGCCGTTGGACTTCATTTCACGTACAAGTTTTGGTAAGATGAGGTCCTAGAACACTTACACGGAGTAGCTCGAATTCATGAAGTGGAACCCAAGGTGAAGGTTTGCGATACAGCACCTCTAGCCGGATGTGAGTTGGTGGAGGGGGGCGAGAGATGGAGATGTGTCTCATGCGATCAAGAAACAAGCGCGGGGAAAAGTGGTGGTGTGCTGCGCCCGCTCTTCTATGTAACGGTGCGTTGTTAGGGTGAAATAAGCAACGAAGTAGTTACTCATCCTGAGAGAACGAATAAGATAGGACCGATTTTCTTCAGGTAAGGCTGAGTGGTCAATGTTTCGATCCATCAGAGAGATATCTTCCGAGTTACTCGAAGCACGAAATGTCTCTTCAGGAAATTTGGGTAAGGTCTCAGGGTCCCGGATGATCAAAACAACCTCAACGGCCAGTAATCTGCCGCCAGAATGCAATGTCCTGCATGCAGGTGTGAAGTGTGGTATGTACCCCAACAGCGATGATGATGTGCGTGTAACACTCCCTTCTGTAGTGAATGTAAATTGGCGCGCTAGGCTTGGGTTGCAAAGGTACCTACTTCACACGACGTCAGTGTCAAGTGGCTGCTGCACTGAATCAATGCCCTGGTGATGCCGAACGTGATGGTAGGGGGTTCCATTCATGCTGCGACACACCCAGTCCCCTACTCGCCTAATGTGTCACTCCGGGTGAGCCGCATGCACAACACCTAGCAAAACATGCATGTCATGTAAATGGTAGGTTGTTTCAGTTGCTTTTGCAGGATGGAGAACACATTGAGACGTGGATTGTATGGAGTAGGGATGTTGAATGGGGGGCTTGGATACCTATCTGCATACTCAACTGCTCGGTCACAGTTTAGATAGGTAGAACTAGGTGGTTGATGGAGCTGATCATGTCGATTGGGTGATCTTTCAAGCTACTAGGGTGTAGTGAAGTGGCAAATTATCTGAGTGAGGTGAACAGCTTCAGAGGAAAGTGAGACGTCGGTATGACTTTTTTATTTTAATTTTCTCTCGAGATGAGAGCGTCCAATTGTGGTCAGAGGCTAAGCCAAATTGGCTATGAACCAGAACCCTGAAAATGTTTGGACTACCAATCAGGGCAATTTCAATATCAAGGGTCCAAATGTAGTCAGACTTGAGAGATCACTGGGCTCTAGTGTAGGGAGCTTTCATGAGTGGCGAAGGTCACAATGCATGTCCAGTAACTTCCGCGATCAACGACGGTTGTATTTTCATATGAAAGAACAAATGAAACGATCGTAAATAACAAGAAAAGACAGAATAGGCATTTCCAACTCCTCGCTCGGTACTCGCTTTTCCATGGGCCTGAGCCACCGTTTATCCGTCCTTTTCCAGCATAGGTCCCGACTACTGAGATCCTCCGATAGTAGCTCCCAAAGTCTCGCTCTGAGTCGAACAAAAGAAACCCAAGAGCAAAACAAAACTGTAGATGGTGGGTGAAAGAGTGTCGAAACTGGGGCCGTGTCCTCATGTAATCCCTTCACATGATCTCAATGATGTATCTGAAGCATCGTTCATCTTGGCTAGCCTCAAAGTGTAGCTCAGTTGGACGCTTGTGAGCGCGGGACGCTTATTTGCGGGTGTCGATTGGGATCTGGCGGACATCGCAGGTATTGCAGATTTGATGGGAACAGTTGAAGCAATGTGTATCAATCTGATAGTTCCAAGGCCCGAACTTGCAGTTGCCCTGTATGAACAATAGTTAGAAGCCGGCAGGCACTTCACAAATGAGCATACAAGGGGTCATCACTTACGCAGTACCAGATCCATTTCTGGGTCTTGGAACCGGTTCTTGAAGAACTAGCCTGTTTGCCTCCAGAGGAGCTGGAGGACTTGCTAGAGGAAGCGCTCGAGTATTTCCCCATTTTGTCGATGTGTGGTTGTTGAGTGGATGTGAAGTTGGAAGCCAGTGTCTTTGAGGGAGTAATGGTGAGAGCGCTTGACTTCTTGAAAGTGAAGTCTCAACTGAGGTTGAATGGGGCAGTAGATGTTGCTTGTATGTCTTCAGGATTTACAAAGAAGAACACTGAAAGATGGTCAAGATGGTGAAGATGGTGAAGATGATGGATATGAAAACAGGTGAGCCGAGAGTAGGATATCATGGAACATCTTATACACTCATCGATTGCTCACAGCTTCACAAAGGTGTCGACCCTATACTCCCACATGGAATTCCCAAATGCCTCATCGTCAACTAAGCCATGTTTTCCATTCAACCTCAAAGGCTTCGGGACCAGTCAACGAGTGGCACTGGTGCGCCTTGCGCTATGGAAATTTCCATGGTGGCCTTACCCACAGGAAGGTTGGACGCTTGAGGATTGGATCTGGTGGTATAGTGCCCTCAGATGGTACAAGGACGACACCGACGGTCATTGGCAGTGCAACTCCGGTGAACAGTCTCCACTCCAGGGCTCTGCCACTTGCTCAAGGTAAGGACTCATACTGGCGAGCGGCCTATCCGTCATTCCATGGAAAACAGTTTGTTTGAATCCACCAGATTGGAGAACGATTGGTGATCGTTGAGCCATCGTTAGGCTTGAATGGGACAGTTCTCGGTCAGTATTTTGAAATCCCAGGCGAAGCAAGTAAAAGCAAAGCAGGGACGAGTGTATGCCGGCGTAGAGCCGTACACAACGGGCAAGTAAATCCTGGTGGTAAGGCAAGAAATGCCGAGTCGACCTGCCCGAAAAAGTTAGTGGTAATCTCCAGAGCTAGACTGCCGTTCTTGAGCGGAAGTTTCTTGACATTCAACTTCGAGCTCGGGCACTCAGAGAGTGAACACCCTTCGGTCCTCGATTGTCCTTCAGGCTGGCTCTCGGGGTCGCCGTTGTGGATCGGATAGATGTCGGCGGAAGTGATGTGATGAAGTTCTTGGCTTCGTTGTTGAAACAAAACCGGTTCGAGTTGAGTGAAATGTGTTGACTGATTCAGTTTGGTCTGGGTGGAGGGAGAGCCGGAGCTGCATACCTCTACCTGTGAATGAGGCGCCTGTACGGCATCACTACCGGGAGAGCTAGCGTCTTACGCATGCGGCTCTGCGCGACACGTGGGAAGGTATACAGCTACTTGTTCGGAGCGGTAAGCCCTGGCTGTTTTCTGCTGCAACTCTTAAGTACTCGGTACAACCTGCTGCATGGAGTTACATACAGCGTGCTTCATTACTGCATCTAGCTTTGACCCTGCATGTTTGTAAACAATGTACGGAAAACAGTTTGAATACCATGAGGTACCTTACCTATCCACCGTAACATTGAAACTTTCGAACTTCCGTCTTCCGTCTTCCGTCTTCCGTCTTCCGTCTTCCGTCTTCCGTCTTCCGTTCTACGGGTTGCAAAGACTGCCCCCGGTGGTGCCCTGACACCTCGCCCTTCCTGTTCAGGTGAGCACGGAATTTGCACTTTCCTCCAAAACCCTTCAACACAGCCACACGATTTTCCCATCGCCCGCCATCATTCTATACGTCCGAGTCGTCTATGCTCACCGACCAAATCCCTGGATTTCATCATAACCCTGCGACCGGCAGATTACTCCCAAGGCGAGCGCGTCAATTCCGCGAATTGCTGGTTTCGCTTTCTCCTTCCCAGGTCGTTGACAGATGACCGCCTGCAATACCCAACCCGTGCGTGTAACCAGAGGGCAGTGCTGCTAGACAGTAGAGCCTGGATCCAGCCTCACCCAGACTCCTGCTAGTACCAGGCACAACCGCACGCTTCTGCCTTACTTGAACGTTGCCCGCCCATTCAACCAGCGCTGCATTCCACCGACTCAATATTGAGCAGAGGTACAGAGCGCGGCTCTGCGGGTGACTGCGACTCTGCGGCTCCTTGAAGCAGCTCTGTGACGACAGGGATTAACCAAGGGCGCAGTATCCGAGGATCAATTGACCGAAACAAGACATACCGGATCAAAGACTGACTGGCGCCGACAAATGAGATCCGACGTCTTCGAATGACATTCAACCGCCTCATGGGAGTCATGCCGGCTGCCCGATATCTGAGCAAAAGAGGCATACATGCCTTCGCACTGCCATGGAAGACTTCGGTGTCTTCTGTTACATCCTCGTCGAACATTGTGGATAAGGAATATGCCGGCCAGGGCTTTGCCCTCGAATCAGACACCTCTTGTGTCATGGCTGGGCTCGATTTTTCAACAATAAAAAAAGACCAGGTGACCGTAACTGACGTCGGCTCCGACAATTCGCCTCGAATGAATAGGCAAGGGTGTGGGGAGCTCACGGCAGTGGTACTCGTTAAGCGTTGGGGAAGGAGACGCTTCGAGCTTTGGCGAGTATGTATGTGTGCCAACGACAACCCATGTGGCACACCACCGGAACCTTTTCGCCAAATCCATCAACGTCGAACTTCGTCCGTGATGATAAGAAGAAAGGCGTTTGAGGAGAAGAAATGCGACGAAAATAACAAGATAAAGAAATGGTGAGTCCCATGACAGAAAGAACCGAGAAACTGACCCACAACAGAAGAATTCGTCTTGTTGACCTATTCGTGGGTCTATACTCGCTGCTTCGGATCGTGATCCCAAGTGATGAGGGGTTCAAGGGTCGTGTCTCTAAGTGAGTCCAAGAAGCTGCCCCGATAGCAAGCAGCCGTGGTAGGAAATCAGAAAAAGACGCCGAGTAGTTGAGTTTCATGCTCATATCTCGAACAATGCCTTAGCCACAACTTGAGGCGGCAATCTGGTGCAGGGATGATTGCTTCATGGAGTGATCTGCTTGTCGTCTTGAAGAACAGATTTAAGTAAAATCCAAGCTTGGAACAGGATGGTGCCAGAAAGAACCGGAGGTGTGATCAATACCAGCTCGGACTGGCTTCCGGTAAGCCATTTCCTCTTGATGAATCGTTTTTCGACGAGATTCCCCCTGTTCCAGCCCCGGATGTGGGTACTAAGTCTTGTTAGCAGATGCTTCTTTTCAATGACAAAGTGAACAACTTACCTTGGAAGGTAGTTCCTTCCTCGTAGTCGAGATGATGGGGTCTCAAGTTCACTATTGACGATCCCCCGCCTTTCACTTTATACATTGAGATGAGGCTCTTTTTCAAGTTGAGGCTCTGCGGCAAGTGCCTGAGTTTCATGTTACCTCAGGCATAATATCTCATGTTTTCTCTCATGATCTGAAGACAATCACATGGAGCCACTTACAAAACAACCTAGAGCCGCACTACTGGCCCGCCTTCAACACATGTAACCCCATTCGGTAGCGCGGCGACCAAAGAGGACGTCGTATACTGAAACATGTCGAAGACAAGGGGCTCTCTTCAACCTCAATGAGGGCCATGAAGAGACTATGTGGCCGTTCAGATCTACATCGCAGCCGACACCTCAACGAATATCGGAACCTAAACGGGCAATGGCCCAGGCATCAGCTCAAAGACGATATGGACTTCATCAAGCCACACGACCCTCGATTACCACCGGCTGAATGTACACACCTTCGGCAATCTGGTGTCTTCAAAGACACGCATACCACGAATTCCATCTTGGGGGTTGCAACAACTTTGAGCAGATTGTCCGGGAAGTTCGGTGACAACACAGAGCCGCGCGTCTCACGGAGCCTAATGATTACGCTATAAACAGAAACCTTGACACCTTGTCCAGATCGCCCAGCGCGTAATGTTGGATTGGCTTTTCCAAGACGAACGGGTGGTCCGTGTTCTCATATTCCCATCCGTTGGTGTTGTCAACATTGAAACTAGTTTCACGAAGATGTTTGGCCAACAAGCTGCTATCTCTTTTCACTGCCGTTGCCTAGTTGTGATTCGCAATGAAAGGTTAGTCCACTTGTCAAGCCGAGGCCGAGGGCAACAAGTCAGCTCGCGATGTTGGCTACATTGGGCCATGTCCGACCGTGAGGGCCAAATGCCTCTTATCCATAATGATCACTAAACAGAGTTCGATCCAACAATAACGGCTCAACACCAACCAAAGAGCACATAACAAAGAATTCATGATATCTCGTTTGGTTTCAGTTGGGGACCAACTTCCACAAGTGTTTCCAAACCTGAGACCTACCGCCCGTGACGGTTGGTGTTCGCCTACGCTAAAACCTTGGTGGACCAACAGTCACAATGCCTAGATGGCAATTCCGAAATTGACCCATGGCACTTTCTTAATTCCCATTGTTTAATGCGTTGGTATTGGCCGAAATGCTGGACTGTAACGGCGCCTGTTGTTCCCTTACATGCCGGGCGTACTTTCATCGGCCACCATCACCATCATCAAAACCGGGCTTGTTCAGCATGTTGGTGCGCACTAATAACTCAACTCAGGTTTGTGATTCTGGGGATCTCAGATTATATCTTTTGGCTTCCCTTCATTATGAGCAAGCATCCTTTCAGCGAAGGTTAAGGTGATGTAAGTTCTATGGATGGAATAGTGTATGGATATGTACCGTTTGTGTAACGCTCACTGCAGGTCCAGTTGGTATTGTAACATTTCGGTTTGGACCCAGCGCCATCAGTTGCAATTAACAGTGGGGGCCCCCGGCTCTTGCGCACTGGACGCGCCCCTACGGGGCTGACCTCCCCGCCTGCGGCCAGGGGCCAGGGCATCCAACAGATGTGCGTTGAAAGACTGGATGATGTCTTGCATTTGTCCAACCGAAGCAAACCTGCGATCTTCCAAACCATTTCACCTTTCTTTGAGCGCATCCCTGGACGCCATCGCGAGAACTGTCCAGACCAACGGCAGCGACCAACATACGGCGTCGCAACTGAACGCTACGGTCCCCCCCCCCCCCCCCCCCCCGTCCGACGGCGACTTTCATGTGCGCGGACAGTACTCGGCCAGTATGCGCGCCGTCCATTTTCGCTTTCCTTGAAGTCTCCTGAACTCTCGTCCTCCGTCGGCCGCTTCCTGTCATCCCGCGCCGACAACGCCTGCCGAATGACCATTGCGACTGCACGCCTTTCATCCGCCATTAACAGTCCGATGCACTTGCCTGCGCGCAAGCGAATAAACGCCCCAGCCCGTACCTCGTTCGTCCGAAGCGCCACCGACGACACTGATCGCTGAATCTTGACCCGTATATCCGACTGCGCTGCGACAACACCACATCCCATGCCTCGAGGGTTGGGGACGAAATGAGTTCCGTTCGAGCGCGCCGGTCCGAGACAAGATGGGTGACGCGATTTATGCCCATCTTCCTAGCCGCCGTTCACGGTCTGGGAACATACACGGTAGCCAAGAGAGTTTGCGGTACGTCCTTGGTTGTCTTTTCCCAATCTCCAACTTCTACTTGGACAGCCGCTCCCTGTCCCTTTGTGATGTCACCTGCACCCAGCATGCTCCCTCCCGGCACCTATAAATCGGGACCGACAGGAGATGTGGAGCTTCTGTACGTCCGTCTGACTCGGAGCTTTTCCCACTGACCGGAACCCTTTCGCAGTGGATCACTTTCTCCATAGGCGTCAACAGCCCAGCGCTGCCATCGCATTCCTCGTCTTCTACTTTATCACTTTTGTCTTGATGCTCTTGACCTACATCCGGCTGTTCCTGGTTATTCAGCAAAATCCTGGCGTTGTCCCCCTCGGGCAGCGAGCGATATGGCGGTTAGAGAAGGAGGAAAAAGAGAAGCCAAGTTGGCGACGACACAAGCATAAACAGACCGACGATATAGAGGCCACCGCCTATAGCAATGTCGGACCAGACGAGGACCCTGATAGCCCTGGGCTGGAGTCCTTTTACAGCAAAGACGTTTTCATCTGCGAATCAGACGGAAAGCCGCGATGGTGTCACAGTTGTTGCACCTGGAAGCCAGACAGGGCGCATCACTGCAGTGAAATCGATCGATGCGTCAAGAAAATGGACCACTATTGCCCGTGGGTTGGGGGGATTGTGGGTGAAACCTGTAAGTTGAAAGAGATCACCGATACATATATGATGGCGGACTAGGCTAATTCCGGGACGCAGCGTTTAAATATTTCATCCAGTTTACATTTTACGCATCGCTTTGCGCTATAGTAATTATCACTGCTTGCGCTCTCTGCACGAGACAGCGACTCCATACCGGTCACGGCCTCGATGGCTTTGTGATCGCCGTGTTGGCTTTATCCGGCCTCCTGGGTTTTTTCACCGTAACCATGTTCATCACATCCGCGCGGTATGTGCTGTTGAACATGACCAACATCGACTACCTCAAGTCCAAAAACTTTGTACACAATCTCGCCATTCGGGTACCCAGGGGTACTCAATCCTGTGAAAAGTACAAGGTCATCACATATCCGATATCGAAACCGGGCGACTCGAGCCCGCAGTTATCTGGGGACGCTGGTGCAAGGGGTGTGGCCAGTGAGAGGGATATGCTCGCAACGCGCACCTTTGCCGTCGTCAAAACCGAGCTGGGCGAGAACCCGTGGGATCTAGGTCTCTATCGAAACTGGAAATCCGTTATGGGCAACGGCATCGTCGACTGGCTACTACCTCTCAAGGACTCACCTTGCGCGACGTACGAGAACAACGAGAGCTTTTACGAAATGGGTCCCATATATCTGCGAGTGCGGGAAAGGTTCGGGCTTCCGCCACTGACCGACGACGAGAAGGGGTTCACCACATCGAAGAAGGAGTCGTCAGGATCACAGCCCAAGGAGAGGAAACAAAAGAAGCAGGAGCAGGGACTACAGGACCAGGCGCATGGGTCGGCGAACTTGTGATCAAATTCAAATTATCAATCTAGATACCCCCTTTCATTTGTCTATGTTGTTTGTTTTACCATACTATTTTGGTTTCTGTACTTTTGCTGACGCTCGGCGAAAGGGCTCGGCGGTTATGTTTCTTTTACTCTTGATTAGATACTTTTTTAATGTTGGATTACGGTTGGCACTTCGGTATGCTGTCGATGCCACCATTTCTCCGGGTGTGAGCATGCAGTGTCTTAAGGCGCCTTCGTCCTTTCTCGAACGAAGTCAGGTACTCATCATTTACAAATTCCCAAAAAGACAACTACCCTTTTTCGAAACCTCAGCAATGACGTGACCATCTTCATCCATACGAATCATTTTTTCCAGCCGGCCGAGCATGGTCCTAGGTACCACACATACCTATCATGAAAAGCGGAAGTTCGATATCGTTTTAGTGTTAAGACCAGAAGCACCACACTTGCATATCGTAGTTACAATCACGCCGGGACTTGATTCATACCTACTCTTCTTCTTGCCTTTGGTTGTGAGTTATTACATAATACTTGGCTAACTCCAACGTGATGATGAGCTCTAGTTGATCTCAATAGCGGAATGCAACTCCGGTAGGACTCTGTGAGAAAGCCCAACATGGACGACTTGGCAGGATCCGGATGGAACAAAGGGAAGTCGCCGAGTGTAACCTGAAGGACAAATGATAACTGGTGATAACGGAAAATGATGCGTCGTGCGAACTGGTGGTATCGTAGGGTTCATTGCATCGTTTACCCCCACGTGTGGGATATATGGTAACGAAGTATGTATGTAGGCGGCGAGTTGTCAATTTGGGTTAAAGCTCTTGTTGGTTCTCAGGTTGCCTCGAGAGGATCAATGAGATAACTTGTCTGTAGCTTCCCGTTCGTTGTTCCCTCTCCAAAGCAGGATGAAAGTCGCCCATCGAGCGTATGATCGATCATGATGGTAGCCCAGGGCCTCAAGTTCTCACTACAAGGGCAGTAGGTAGGGAGGACGAACGTAGGTATTCCCCGCGCAAGAAGTCTCCTCAAACATCACAGACGTGACATCGACAGGATCCGTTTATGGAACTCCCCCTACTCCGCGCCTTATTAGGCGATCTAAACTTGTGGTGTTTGGGCAGAATATGTGGACCGTTCTGACACCTCAACTGGAGCTTCCCCTCAGGTCAGGTATACATGTGTAGTGTATCTCGCATATGCGGAAGGGGCCCTTTCGGGTGGACTGAAAGGTTGGACCAAACGTTGTTATCACGGCTTTGCGTCTTATTTCGATAGCTAACGAAGTTGAAGCGGGTCAAATATCTGAGTTATAACATGCCTTCCGTTTTGGTTTGAGGTTGTTGCATGCAGTTGGTGGTTTTGAACGCACAGCAGTGGAGAAAGTCGCGACCTGCAGGGGTGGGGCTCCCGCATGCGTCAACGTGGGGGATCTCATCCACTGATAGGCGCGGCCGGATGCATCCACCAATCGCCTGCTGTGGGGACCTCCCGGCTTGAACTTCCTCCGATCCTGTCAGCTTCCAGACAGTTTCCACAGGGCGGTCCCGAGTCCGGACACACGACACACTGGACTTCGCGGCGATTCTTTTGCTACACCTTACCTTAGCGCGCTTTTGCTCCGTTCGACGTGATTTCCACAACCACCCGTCGCGACGCCCGTCTTCATGCACCTCCGTCACCGATAGACGTCTCTCGGCCATCCGCGATTACCACGATTCTGACTGCCGTTGCCGGTCCGCCCTCGTAGCCCGACCGACCGACCGAAAATGACACCCTTGGCTGTCCATTCCGCCCATACGCTGCCATGTCGTCACCGCTCCATCTGCAGTCCTTTCGCGACTCCTCTCCCGCGGGCGCTCCCGGCATGAAGCGCTCACGGTTCACATACCGTCACATCCAGCAGCTCGCTGCCTCGAGTACTTCGTGTCCGCTCAGGGTTATCGCCCACTTGGATCTCGATTGCTTCTACTCTCAAGTAGAAATGGTGCGACTAGGGATACCAGACGACAAGCCCGTTGCCGTTCAGCAATGGTAAAGCCACTCTCCAACATTGTGCCCCCATTCGGCATTCTCTGTGACGTCAAACTGACCTCGTATAGGCAGGGCTTGATTGCGGTCAACTACCCGGCTCGTAGCTTTGGCATCGGCCGGCATTGCAACGTGTCGGAAGCAAAAAAGCTTTGCCCGGATCTTATACACCAACACGTTGCAACATGGAGAGAAGGCGATGCCAAGTGGGATTACCACCCGGATGCCGCGGCCAATATGGCGACGCACAAGGTGTCCTTGGATCCTTACCGACTTGAATCCCGTAAGATTCTGGCTATCATCAAGGACGAACTCCCACCTCATCTTCAAAAGGTGGAGAAGGCGAGCATCGATGAGGTGTTTATGGACCTGTCGGCACAGGTACACGCTATCCTACTCGACCGTTTTCCCGAGCTTGCCAACCCTCCCCCATACGACGACCCGACCGAGATGCTGCCCATGCCATCCATCACCGCTCTCGACTGGCAGGCTGACGCACTGGTGGACCTGCCAGACGAGAATGCTGAACTTGAGGATCCGGACTGGGACGACGTGGCTATTCTTATAGGCTCGGAAATCGTGCGCAAGGTGCGCACAGCCATCAAAGATAAGCTTGGATACACGTGCTCCGCGGGTGTAGCCTGTAATAAGCTGTTGAGCAAGTTGGGCTCGGCTTACCGGAAGCCCAACCAACAGACGGTGATTCGGAATCGTTCAATTCAGCATTTTCTGTCTGACTTCAAGTTCACAAAGATGCGGAACCTTGGCGGAAAGCTGGGCGAACAAATCAGTCAGATCTATCACACAGACACGGTCAAAGACTTGCTGGTTGTCTCGGTGGAGCAGCTGAAATCGAAGTTAGGCGATGACACGGGGGTTTGGGTCTACAACACCGTGCGCGGTATCGACAACAGCGAGGTGAACCCGCGCGTCCAGATCAAGTCGATGCTGTCGGCCAAGTCCTTCCGCCCCAGTATAACCTCCTTTGAGCAGGCTGTTAGATGGTTACGCATCTTTGCCGCTGACATTTTTTCCCGGTTGGTCGAAGAAGGCGTTTTGGAAAACAAGCGGAGGCCCAAGACTATCAATCTCCATCACCGCCACGGCACTCAAACCCGGTCACGTCAGGGTCCTATCCCTCAAGGCCGTAAGCTCGACGAAGAGAGTCTGTTCGAGCTGGCCAGGAACTTGCTAAGCCAGATTGTTTCCGAGGGTCAAGTTTGGCCATGTTCCAACCTCAGCCTTAGCGTCGGAGGATTTGAGGATGGTGTCACTGGAAACATGGGCATTGGCGCTTTCTTGTTGAAGGGCGAGGAAGCTCAGGCAAGCAAGACGGGGGCACGGACAGCGACGGTTGACTCTGAAAATGAGATCCGCCCGGCAGAGAAGCGAAGGCGCCTGGATAACGGCGGGATAGAACGGTTTTTCGCGAAGAGAGAGTTATCCCACGGCGCTAATTCTGGGTTGGGCTCCGACGATACAGCCATCAGTGGTCAAAGCGGTCAAAGGTTGGGCACCCTGAAAGAGGAGGTCATGTCAGGTGAGCCGGCCGGTTCAGAGGGGGTGGCCAAAGCCGATGAGGTATACAACGGGAAATCTGAACCAGAACCCGGCCCAATCATCACATTGACGTGCTCGCGATGCAACGCCAGCCTCGATGGCCCCGAGGAACTGCAAAGCCATCAGGACTGGCATTTTGCTAAAGAGCTCCAAGAACAAGAACGTGTCAGTCAGACATTCGTCAATCAGCCATCAGCGTCTAGCTCGCGTGCCGGCAACCAAAAATCCACAAGCACGACGCCGAAGCGACAAGGTAGACCCAAGAAGGTCGAGCGTGGGCAGAGCAAACTCAAGTTCGGTTGAACAGGCTATTGCGATTTTCATGACACGGCGCTCTGATAACAACAAAGCGACATGAGCGCACATGTGGAGAATTCGATGCATGAATCCACAACACGACGTCTGATATCAAAAGGTGCCTTTGGCCGAGCTATCCAAGTTTGCACATGCGGTCTTTGTGGAGGACGGTTCGCTCTTCAGATTCGCTGCAGGTGTTCGTCTTCAGCTGCGCGACGGGATTGACTACGACATCTCATCAAAGTCTGCGTTTTGGCGGTGACTGAGATCCCAGGGACAAACCAATCAATGCTTGGTCAGATCCACGATTCTCTTATGGCGCTCAATGGGTGGTGACGGGTCGGCAGTCCCGCTTCCGAATATCTTGTGAAGCACATTTTCTTGTTACATGGCAGCCGAATTCCATGGGGGGGGCTATCAAACTCCTTGGGTTGTTGAAGCTCCCCCCCGGAAGATGGAACTCCAATCTGCGTGCAATGAGTTCAACTCTTGAGAGTTGCTGCTTGATTTCCTGACAGGTCACCGGCAATCTTGGAAGTTTGAAAGGACTTCCACGAAAGATCTAAGAGGTTATTATGGCAAACTTAAACCTCGACGGGAGCAAGAAAGTTGAAGACAAACAGACAAAAGGTGTCGTCAATGTCTGTCCCCGAACTGGGGGCCGGATACTCGTCATCATGGGGGTTCCTGTCTGACAAACTGGCGGAGACGGCATGTGCCCCTTTGTTTGGTACACCAGAATGGAAAATACAACACAGGAGCATGTTCTGCACTGAGGTTACTTGCCGATGTGGGAAGAAAAAGTCAATTCGGTCATGATAACTCGGGGCAGTGAGCGTGCTCAGAGCCAAACGGTCGCCTTGTCGTCAAGCTTACACCCTCACCACCCGAAGCATCGGACGAAGCTGATTGGCTGCGGGGAGACCCCATCCTGTGCGGCAGTTTGCGGCGTTGCAGAGAGGTTGGGCTTCCAGACTCCCAGACGCATTGATACCCGATTGTTGCCAGAACCCGCCCATTCCCAGACCCATCACGAAGCCCACCAGAAAGTATCTTGACGCAGCTTTTACTAGCCCAGCCTGTCTTCAATGCATTTTAACCCGCGTGGAAGAAGCGACGGCACGGGCATGATTCGGTAGGTCATACTCGGCACATCCCACATGCGATGGCGGCGACCCATTGGTATCAAGAAACCATGTCGGACGCTCGAAATGATTTCTTGAATTCTTGTACGCACACACGTCACGGCGACGAAGCGACTCTTCCATCCATGTGCCACCTTCAGCCCGTCAGCCAGCACTGTCTGGCGTCTGGCCCCGACCCTTCAACTTTCGATGAACAAGATTGGTTGTCCATCTCTGCCATCCATCACCATAGGTTTAGCCGCCTAACTATTGAGAGCCATGTGGCAGTGACTCTGCGAAGACGGCCTCGATTCTACGCATGATATTCAGGCCCATCCGTAGACGACCTCATGGCAACACAGTAGACATTTGAGGCCGTCTTGTTCCTTGCGTATAAATCTGAAATGTCTCCAAATGACATCAGCATTTGTGGTATGATTTTCTCAACCAATGGCTTTTACCTTGATTCTGAAGTCAGGCCTTCATTGTCCCCGCATTCAGCTATCTTCGCGCCCTTGACGCCCAAATGGGTCACCGAATATCCACTACCAAAACAGCGGCTTTCCTTGCGCTCACCTCAACGGCTGGAAAATTTACACAGTATGGCGTCGGCAGCGCTCCCGTGTCCGTTTCTTTCTTTTTGACTGGTACGAGTTACCACCGAAGGTTGACGCCGTGCGGTTGATTAATCGGCACCCACACCTCCGCGTGCGATTTTGGCGTTTCCACAACAACCCCCACTCATCACCAGATCCGACTTCTGACTGTTTGCACAACTTGGCAGTTGGCACCAGAGTCTCTAGTCTAGAAGGCCGATTGTTGACACCTAAAATCCCCAAGGCGTAAAAGCGCACTTTGGCAGGTGACGGCGTCGAGCAAGGTCGCTCCTAGGTACCAAGTGCACCTTTTTTCACCAATGTATATCAAGTCAACGACTCCATTATCACCTGTCGATAATGGAAAAACTCGATTTTCGACCTGAAGCGATTTTGAGCATGTCTTCCACTCCACAGACTTACAACCCAACACTTGCCAATCTTCACACCGCACTTTTTTTCGTTTCTCCTAAGCCTGTACGCCTTTGTGTCTTCCATCAGCACTGGCATCGTCCATTGCTCCATCCGCCCTCCCCCGTCCTTGGGCTATCTCGAGTCGTTTTTCAGTGGTTGGCAGGACTGGCTCTTTCGCTTGCTGCAGCCCCTAAAGGCAGCAGCCCACATCGGAGCCCTAGAGCCAACCAAAGTCTCCCGCGCCTTTCTCCCGAGGCCGTCCTGGCCGGTGAAGAAAAAGGAGAAAGGAAAAAAGGGAGGTCATGGTAGTATAAGTGCACAAACTGTTTTTCCTATCAAGCCTCGCTTGACGTTGTGGTTTGCTATGCTCGGCTGTGCTTGGCCACAGTTGTTAAGCTGACTCGGCCGCCTTGTTGGCTGAGTATGGCTGCCATCCATCCAAGCCGTCATTCACCATTCAGCGTTCGTGCTGTCGTCGTTGTTTTATCTCCTGTGGCGACTATAGGTTCAACGATACATGAGCGCAACGCGCTCCCATTGGCAGACACGGGGTCCCTACCGCCATGGATCCAGAAAACCAACCCTGGCAGTAGGACCTTCTGGTGCTGCCTCCCGACCTTCTCAAGCCCCTCACTCTGTCCTTGAGGTTGCTGTCACCCCCCATCCCATCTGCAAAGGCATTTCTCGTCCGCTCTTTTTGGCTCATGTTCCTGCTGCTCGTGCTCGTTGTCAGCAGATGCCCTTGCTGCCCTGCGGATGCCCTGCGGATGCTCTGCGGATGCTCTGCGGATGCCCTGCGGATTCCGTGCCCCATTCTCCATCAGAGTTCGGCCTAGTGTCACCCACAATTCTCCATTCCCCATTCTCCATTCCGAATCCGTTCTCGCTGTCGACGAGCGAGACGCCGAGAGACGCAGGAGAGGACCCAATGCCTGGGTTCGCATCGCATTTGCACCAGCAAGCAGCAAGCACAAAACTCGGGTACAGACCGCGGAGCAGCAGTGTCCTTACAGAAAGGTGCCTCGTGTGCTCGGGTAGCGTAGCTTAGGTACTAGACTAGCCTTGTCTAACTGCCTGCCCAACGTGTTACATACATAGGACGAGATGACGGGGGCGGACACTCTCTCCAGCGTACGGTACATACCACAGTAGACTACGTACAAGACGGCCAGCAGAAAGTCGGTCGTGTTGCCGTTGCAGGCCGGCTGTCGAGCTCAGCGCCGATTTGCAGTGTAAGCCGGCCAGTCTGATCACCTCCACTCACCCATTTTTCCTGTCTTTTTCCCGCCTGTCCACGGGTTGTTCTACTCGGGTTACCTCTACATAGTAGCATACAGCCCAGGGTTGAGGGTACCTGCTAGAGGTACCGCTCTGCCAGGGTTGCCAGGAGTGCCTCAGTTCTTCCATCCCACCCACGCAACCACGGCGGCCCACTTTGGCACAACCTAAACTCAGCCAGGCGTCCATTTCTTCCCGGCCTCCCCTCTTTCTTGTTCATCCCTTCTTCCCAAAATTCGGACTCTTTCCCCCCTGCCTGCTGTCCCATCATCGGCCCCCTCCACTTGCAACATCCTTTTTCTCACCTCACCTCCATACATACCTCTTGTCCAGAACGCCGTTTCGGTTGCTGGTTTTCTTGATCTACATCGTCTTCTTGTCTTGTTCTTTAAGCCCTTTCCGCAATCACCATGGCGGCAAGACCGGGCAACAGGCCAGCTCAGGCCCCTCAGCCCTCGACTGCGCGCCAGAACGAATACTTCGTGCCTCGCGACGGTATCGACCGCGAAGTCATCACCTCCGACATTTGCAGGTACCTCGGAAACGATGCACTTGTACGCCCTGGAACCTACGAGGTACGCCCCTTCGACCGAGACTTTCTTTCCTCTTCCGCCTCGCCCACTTGAGCGTGATATCGTGAGGAACTGTCGCTTACAGCTGCTCGCCTCATAGTCACCAGACGGCCGTGTGACCCAAGGCTACTTCATCACCGCCTATCGCAATCTGACATCGGTGAGTCCTCGCAGCCAGCTCGCGCACAAGCTTGCGAAAGACTTGATGCTAAACAAGGTGGCTCTGCAGGCAATGATTCAAGACCTAAAGGCCGACTCTGCTCGATGGGAGCAAGAGAGACGTGCTGCGTCCAGGTCAGGTGGTGGCACTGGAGGTACAATACACTCTAGCCAGCACAATGGCTCAACGTTTGTGAGAAGCTCTAACTCGCCCACAGGCCAGCGCGAGCAGAACCGTGGGTCCTCTGATTACAGCACATGGAAAAACCGCCAACGGGAACAGGAACACTACGATGCCTACGCCAGGGACAATGCCATGGATGTTGACTATCCCCCGCAGCCTAGCGCTCCCAAGAACCCGGTTTATCCTCCGCCGAATGCGTACCCAGGCCCGCCACAACCAGGTCCTCCTGCTTATCCGCCCGTTTCGTACACTCCCCAGGCTGCCGGTATTCCAGCACAGTATCCTCCTCAGGCGTACCCTCCTTACCCGACCAACCCTCCCGCTCCGCAGTACTCGCCCGGACCTCCCAATACCGGAGACAGATACCCTGGCATGGCGGCCCCTCCTCCTATGCCGGCTGGCGGCTATGGACAAGTTGGACAGGAAGCTTCCTACGTGATGGGCTCAGATTACCGGACACAGCCGAACTATGTGACGTCGGAGCCTCCAAGGATGGCGCCTCACCCTGCGATCTCCTCTGCTGCCCCGGTCAGGACAATGTATGCTCCCACCAATGGCGCTCCTGGTTACCCACCAGCCCCGGATCAGTACTATGGTGCACCAGTTCCCGGAAGTTCGGCCACTCAGGCTTACTCAGCCGATCCTCTATATGGCCGTGGTGGTGCGTATAATGTGGCAACAACGAACCCAGCGCAGGCTTCATCTGATAATCTAGGCTCCCCCGCAGGTCCAACGCCAACACGGCAAGGGTACGGTCACATCCCAGAGCCCCCGTTTCATAACCATCAGGCTCCTGTGCTTCCCCAGGTCCCCACGTCAAACAGTAGTACACCGGCCCAGATGGCGAGCAGCGGGCCGTCACCTGCCCCGCGCCGAAGTCCCGGTCGCGACTCGGAGCCCAGGGAACGAGAACGGGAACAGCACCGCAATCGCCGCCCGGAGCAGGAACGTGACGACACAGATCGTGCCAGGCATCGGCAACACCGCTAATGGCTAGCGACACGCAGGTCTTTTGACTTTGACTGCCCTAGACTTGCCCGTCGCAAGACGTCGGAGGTCTTGTGGGCTGTTATTAATGCTTTGCTAATACCTCGGAACCCGGAGTTCTCTATTATTTCTGTTTCATTGTCTCATACCAGGATCCCGGTTGCTCTCGGCCTGATAATGATCTGATCCACGGATAAACCCAGGACAAAAAAGAGGTGCGCGGAAACCTCGAGAGCTGCAAGTTGCATCTCTGGAAGTTTGGATTATGACTCTGCTCCGGCGGCTCGACTTTGATACAGCAACAACCATTCTCACCACGGTATTTGCTTCCCTGGATTATCGGCATTTCTGTCCTTGGTTTTACCAGAACACGGATTTTCTGGTGCCTACGAAACATCTGGACTCCGGCACCTTGCAGACAGCTGCCGCATTGGATGGTGGTGCTGTCGCTCGAGTTTCCTTTCTTTTCGATTAATGTTACGGGTTGTTTGATTTCCTTTTTTTCATTTTCCTTTTTGGTTATCGCTTTGAGAGACAGTATGGAGAGATGCATTATACCACGGACCGGGAAACTTCACTGGATTTGGGGAAAAGGAAGAGCGACTCGAGGTTCTGGCGTCTTTGTGTGTAGTGGATATCGGCCTTCTTCTCCTTGCTGTCCGGAATGGCTCTCGGGATAACGTCCTCGTCCTCCGCTCGAGGCGTTTGCGTCTAACCTTGAAACCATTCCACCCCGGGATCAGGAGTCTTCCTCGCTGACAATCTCCCGAGTCCTGAAAACGGATTCGCCCTCTTCACCGACCGGAAGATCTAAGCCATGGACGGACAGCAAGGTGAGTAAAGCCTCTGGAAGAGTGTATATATCATTGACCCTCGGACCGCAATACGGTACTCCAATTTCTAACCACGGCTTGCACTCCATGATCTGGACAAGCTCATGTTTCGTTTTCGAGATAACTAACTGGACACAGGTTGAATCAAGGAAACAAGGTTCTTCTTTTCTCTGTCTTCTGGAACTCCCACCTGGATCAACCACAATTGGCCGCACACAACGGATTTTCCTGTTTTTCATTCGAGCCATGGCACCCAAGCTCGTCCCGGAACTGCCACTGCTCTCATCTGGAATGGTCTTGCTGGTTTTGGCCCTACTGTTTCCGTGGACCTTCTGGATTGCTTTTCGCTTTTGGCTTGCTAGAAGGGCCAGTCTCATACTCTGACGCGTCTTCATGACCCGTCTCCGGAACCACGGGCTGTCCAATGAGACGCTCATCACGGACATACAATTATCAAACATCAAGTTCGGTAAGACGCGCAATACAAGCTCTTCAAACCTTGAGGCGGGTTGCCCTGTTTCAGTCACGCGGAGGTATGTCGACCAAATACCACCAAAGAACCGCGGATGGCCCATCAATGGAATCGTGGCAACAACAAGTGCCAATGATAATGGACCGACCATGCCCATATGGTGTTTCTCAACTCGACTGCCCAAATGGAGTTCGATATCTTCGCCAAAAATAGCTCGATGGTAGCTATTTTCTCTTCATTTCTGTTGATTCCCAGGGGACCAGCATTCAACCTTGTGCGCTGCACAAATCGCGAAACTGGCATCGAACATCAGTCGGAAGGCCCCGCAAGCTTCTTGAACCAGGGACACGATGATGTCCGTCTTCTTGCAGCGCTCGCCAGCTCTTTAGACTGTTGCCTTTCGGTCGGTACTACGGTAATTGTCCATGTCTTCAGGAGCCTTCACGGAAAACTATGGTGTGGAAACAAAGACGCCATCCCGGATTGCATCTAGGTCTTCCGTTTCACTGCTAGTTGGGTAGCCGGTTTGCATTGTTACCACTGCATCATCATAAGAACCTTCAGCAGCCAGTACCGACTGGTGCCGAAGGTCATTTTCAACGCGGCGAATTGTGGTCAACTATCACCAAGGTTCGCACACGTGAGATGAGCATCTCCAAGGAACGGTCATCTGTTAGTCAAGCATTTTTCCTCTCGGCGTCACCTCACTCTCTTGCCTGTATTCATCCGATAGGTAGTGGTTGCCGTCCTCTCGGAAGGTGAACCTAAGCTAACAAGCCCTCACAGAAATTGGATGGAAGGATTTCTTCTCACTTTACATCTCTTGTGTTTCGCATATTGCGCGGGCGTACTGGTCTCATATTTGTCATTTGAGGTTATGGTCACATGTATCTGCTGTATAATCTAGCCGTTATGGGTTCGGCATTGGGAAGAAGGACTGAACGAGGGGCGCACGCACGGCTTTGGTAACCGAGTCTAGGGTACTTGTATAGAGTTTTGGAGCTTTTGTTGAGAGGTACAATCAAAAAGAAGGGTCTCACAATTGTCTTTGAAATACACGCTTTACAGGCAGGCACTGAGAGGTTCCCCTTTTTAATGTAAACATGGTCCTATGTAATGGAAAGCACGGAGTCCGCTCGTGTCCGTGCTGCTCTCTCCTCGCCGATCGCTGGTCTTGGGAACTGGGCTGGTGGACTCACTTGCAAAATAAAGGCGGTTGGGGAGACGCAGGGGAAAATGAAAACGTGCAAGTCAGCAAGTGTTCTTTTTTTTTGCTTCTAGCTGGGGTTTGCGTGGAGCAATTCAGGCGCAGGCGCCAGGCACACACATGTTGTCCTGTGGTGTACCGAAGAATCTCGGGAAACTCGCAAACGAGCTCCCCCCACAAATTCCCTTCTTGGGCGCCGATATGCCAGCAGTTCTGTGTGGTGCAAGTCCGGCTCTGTTCATCGAAACGCACGCAAGTTACAGTGGTTGGCAGAAATTGGGCTTTTTCACTAACAACGCGGACCTGTATGCGATTTGATGTACGTTAACCGCTGGCATATTTGCGCCCAAGAAGGTAATTACTGGGGGGGGGGGGCTCGTTTGCGAGTTTCCCGAGATTCTTCGGTACTGTATGGAAGTAGTGTAATGCTTTTTCAGTGAGCCATTCAGTCCAGTACCTGGACCGCCCTGTTCTGCTGTTCATACTGTACGATAGATATCGGCACTTTCGCAACATGATTCAAACGAAAGCACAATCATATGCTACAAGAGAGAATCAGCTTGTAAAGAGCGCCAATCAAGACCAAGGAACGTGGAAAAGGGAGGAAAGAAGAAGTGAGATGACGGGGTGGTTGGTGAATGGGTCGGTTTATTACGGTCAGTGGTCACCGCTTTTGCGGCATGGCTTTTGCTGCTTTGCAGCGGCAAAGGATAATCCGCCGGATGAAGGATAGTACTTAGGTATGCTTGTTACTGTACTTGAGTATATGCGGTCATAAATGTTGTGTTCCTGTCGATATCGAGGGTCTCTTGGGAGGCCAGTCATGCTCAGCAGAAGAGATTTAGTTTCTCTTTCCCGACCTCTCTCACGACTCACAACGCGAAACAAAGCTCACACAAGGAGCATAAACTTGAGCGTCAACATGGGATTTGAGACACAATGTGGGTTCGTTAGTACTGTGTGGGTTCCTGGTGGGGCGTCAAAATATTGTAGCGTCAAAACCATAGAGGTAACCCGTTTGGCGATGTGAATGCCCATGATGGCTTCATTGTTAGGCACGACTTTTCTTCTACCTGGAAAGAAAGGCTGATGAAAGTCTTGGAGTAAACAGATCAGCAATAACAAACGGATGCTTTCATCCATTCTGTTCCGGTACCCCATGAAAAAAAAATGAAAAAATAGAGATGACTCCACGAGCCCAAATCCCATCGACATCAAAGCATTCCGTATGACGACCCCTGGACTTCAAGGAGGAACCCAAAGCCGGGTTGAGCAACGAGGACCCTCCTGGTCTGCCAACCAGTGTAAAACTTTGTGAGCCAGGCAGGTTCCTGTTAGCGTACAAACCACTAAAAAAGACCAAGCTGACGTGCCTTGCTTCCATCCCGTTTTATGGAGATTGTTCCTGGCCCTGGGGCCCTCTGGCCCTCCACCGCAGCGGTTGACAAGCCCGTGATTGACAGCCCGCACAGACAACCTTCACTGGTCGAGAGATGTCCGTGCTCTGGTTGTTTACCTAGAGGTAGATGGTTGCAGGTTGGCCGACGTGATGCTCTTTCGCCCCTGATGCCCTGCGTCGGGTAGAGGCGTGCGTTTTATGTAGGGGGGGTGAAATGTTCACAGCATTAACCCCGATGCCTCATAACCCGGACGGCGTGCTGATAATGCCCCGCCCAGTTGCGATTTTCACGGCAGTCGATTCGTCATCTCCCGCAAGCCAAAAAGGTAGCAGGTACAAAGCGTCTCCAGCAGCAGCGATACCACGAGGGACCAGCTTGTGGCCCAAATTTTTTTTACGCTAGTTTGGCAAGACTGTGCACGCCCCTCAACCGCAACAACTTCAACCCCGTCTCCGGCTTTTTGTTTTGGGATTTTGTTGCCTGCCACCACACCCCCCATCTACGCACTCGCCCTCCCCGGATAAGGTGTGTCCGTGTTGATGCGAGAGTCCGCCAGAATTTGACCGTCAACGAAGTCACCTCAAGATGGATGCGAACGCCATTCGAAGTTGCATCGTCGCGACCCTCGACGCCGACGCCGACCTTCGTCGGAGGGCTGAACTCCAGCTCAAGCAGGTGCGTGTGTAGCCGTCCATCATCATCAAACCCCGTCCCGCGTCGCCGTCCTCCCACCTCTGCGCAATCAGCCCCAGTCCGACCACGAGCCCGAGTTTGTCGTTCCATGGCCGCGTGCCTCGCACACAACAACGCCGTCCAAGATAGCAACGTCCCGTGGCCGTCGCCGTGGCCGTGTGCTTCTCCCGCCCAGCCGTCCGCGCCCGATATCCATTTCACCAGCACACCCTCGACTTCCGTTCACCACCCCGCTTCCACATGGACATGAGACTACGTACAACAGGAGCGCCGCTGACATCAAGTCTTCACTGCAGGCCGAGCAACAAGTCGGTTTCACCGATGTCCTCTTGGACCTCCTCCAGACAGAGCAGGATGTGAACCTGAAACTTTCAAGTATGGCTTGCTAGTTCGCTTCCCTACACGGGCTTCCATAACCCACCCCGCCCTTGCCTCGTTCATTCTACGCTTGGTGCAAGCGCTCACCTCTCTCTAGCCGTTATCTACCTCAAGAACCGAGTCAACCGCGCCTGGCAGCGCTCCGACGACTACCCGCAAGAGGCGGTTTTGGACGAAGACGCCAAGGCACGCTTCCGTGACCGGTTACTGCCCATTCTCGCCAGCTCCGAGACTCTGGTCCGCCACCAGCTGGTCCCCATTCTACAGCGCATCTTGCACTTCGACTTTCCCGAACGATGGCCGACCTTCATGGATTACACCGTTCAGTTGCTCAACACCAACAACGCCCCCTCTGTCCTGGCTGGCCTGCAATGTTTGCTCGCTATCTGCCGTTCTTTCCGCTACAAGATGAGCGATACCGATAACCGTGCGCAATTCGAAAAGATTGTCGAAGTTAGCTTCCCGAGACTGTTGGCCGTCTGCGATGAGTTGGTGAACCAGGATAGCGAGGAGGCTGGCGAGATGCTACACATTGCTCTCAAGGCGTACAAGCATACTGCCTGGGTGGGTTCCCATATTTACTGGAAATGCGGTAATAGGGTGATTTGCTGACTGAGCCACTATAGCTCGAACTCCCCGCCTGCCTCCGCGAGCAGTCCGTCAATCTCGGATGGTGCACCATCTTCCTCCGTACCGTATCTAAGCCGATTCCTGCGAGCGCTATGCAGGACGACCCGTTGGGACGTGAACGCCACCATTGGTGGAAGGCAAAGAAGTGGGCATACTTCAACCTGAACAGGTTATATATCAGGTAAGTGGTTATGGTGTTGCATCTGACAAGTTCTACCGGGTGCGCAACTCCGAGGCTGATCCTATCACAGATATGGTAACCCTCACAACATCATGGAAAAGGGAGCCGATGGTCAGTTGCTCCAATTCGCCAAGAACTTTATCGCCCAGGTTGCTCCCGAAATCCTCAAGCACTACCTTACTGAGATCGAGAAGTGGGTAGCCAAGACCGTCTGGTTGAGCCGGCCGTGCTTGTCGTACACTCTCGTCTTCCTTGACGAGTGCATTCGTCCCAAGGAGATGTGGACACATCTTAAGCCTCACCTTACGAACCTGGTCACTCATTTCATCTTCCCTGTTCTCTGCCTTTCGGAAGAGGATGTGGAAAACTTCGAAGAGGAACCGGAGGAATACCTTCACCGCAAGCTTAACTTCTTTGAGGAAGTCTCCGCGCCCGACGTTGCCGCTGTTAACTTTTTGGTGAGCCTCACGAAGGCGCGCAGAAAGCAGACCTTCGAGATCCTCAAGTTCGTCAATGAAGTCGTCAATCAGTATGAGCAGGCGCCAGAGGACCAGAAGAATCACCTGGCGAAGGAGGGTGCGCTGCGCATGATCGGGACTCTTGCTCCGGTTATCCTGGGCAAGAAGTCCCCTATTGCTGATCAGGTGGAATACTTTTTGGTTCGCTACGTTTTCCCGGATTTCACCAACCCGCAAGGCTTCCTCAGAGCCCGTGCGTGCGACACCATCGAAAAGTTCGAGCAGCTCGACTTCAAGGACCAGCAGAACCTCCTCACTGTCTACCGTCACATCCTCGACTGCATGGCTGACCCCAAGTTGCCTGTCCGTGTGACTGCTGCGTTGGCCCTGCAGCCCATGATCAGACATGAGATCATTCGCACCAGCATGCAGCAGAACATCCCGACCGTTATGCAGCAGCTTCTCAAGCTTGCTAACGAAGCCGATATTGACGCCCTCGCCAACGTGATGGAGGACTTCGTGGAGGTTTTCGCTACTGAGCTTACACCGTTTGCCGTGGCTCTTAGCGAGCAGCTGCGCGACACCTACCTGCGCATTGTCAGAGAGCTCCTCGAAAACAATGAGAGACGTGATGGTGCTGAGGATGAGTTTGGCGATTATCTTGATGACAAGAGCATAACCGCGCTTGGTGTCTTGCAAACAATCGGTACTCTCATCCTCACCCTTGAAAGTACCCCGGAGGTTCTTCTTCACATTGAGAGCGTTTTGATGCCTGTTATCCAGATTACTTTGGAGAACAAGCTTTACGATCTCTACAACGAAGTCTTTGAAATCATCGACAGCTGCACTTTCGCCGCCAAGCAGATCTCCCCTAACATGTGGCAGGCCTTCGAGCTTATCCACACAACTTTCAAGTCTGGGGCCGAGCTGTATCTGGAGGATATGCTTCCTGCGCTGGACAACTTTGTGCAGTACGGCGCGCCCCAGCTTGTTCAGAAGCCTGAGTACATTCAGGCGCTGTTTGAGATGGTTCAGGACATGTTCAACGACACCAAGGTTGGCGGCTGTGACAGAATCTGCGCCTGCAAGCTTTCTGAAGCCATGATGCTCAGTCTGCGTGGCCATATCGACCAGTGCGTCCAAGGCTTCGTCGG